GATAGTTTAGACCCTTTTTAATTTTTCAAATTGATGAGGGGATGAGGCTTTTTTTCTTTATCACAACCCTAAAAAGTGATGTGTTTAAGTATAAGGAAAAAAATTGTTCAGGTTAAACATTTTTTTGTACGAATGATCAAATGTATGGAAATTAGTTCAGGAAAGGTCCATCATAACAAAAATAACCACGTGCACGAGTATACCTTTGATATATACAAGCAGAGCTCATACACAAAGCTTTTTGGTGTGATGGCCCTTTCCTCAATTGTTTTTGCTAGGTTTGGTACTATCACTTCATCACTTGGTTCCAATAGACTAGATGAGAGTAGAAATAATCTTGATTTACATCATTAAAAAGTCAAAATTCAGTCAAACTGATGTCGTGTCATATTTGGAATCTACGTGTAAAATTACATCTCGAAATGTGGTTTGAGTTTATCATCTTTGAACATTTAATTTTCTTTGAAAACGTGATTTCTAGGTCGGGGAGATTCCCCATAGACCCTAGGCCACCCTATGTTGTAAAATTACAAAAACTGAAATATCTTTTCTTGTGTTGGGCAGATAATATTTTTTTTAATTTTTATTCAAGTTTATGGGAACTTTGTAATACCCTGCCATGTTATTTCCCCCGAATTAGCCACCTAGTGGCGAAACTGGTAACTACCTTCTGAGTAGTTGAACATGGAGCATACAGTTCAGAGTTCGAATGCAATGCGCAAAGCTCATGGAGCAAGTGCTGGGAGGGTCTTGACTTGTCTTGAATGAATTATGGGGGGGGGGGGGGGCTTACAAGGGCTTTTAGCTAGACTTTTCTAAATCACCATCATAGTAACTTGATTCCCAAGGTTATTCTTAATGTTAAGTAAAGTTGATATGAATGCTTTCAATTTTTATAATTTTTTATTATTTTTAATTCTAAATACTGTAGATTGGGTTAATTTGGCGCCCGCTTTAATTTGGCGAATTTGGCGAAATTGAAAAATTCGCCAATATAAATCTTCGCCAAAATTTAGAATGAATCCCCGGGAATTATCTAGGGTATTTCGTCCAGTGTATTCAGGTCACTTCCGGTTAAGTTTTTTCCAAAAATATGAAAAAACGTCTCTCATAAATTGGCTTAGAACTGGTCAGTCACTCATTAATACTCAGGGAAAAGGTGATGTATAGTAGCAGCATCGATCGAGGTGCAAAATGTAAAGGATGATCTCACAAAAATGTACAAACGTGGTGAATATCGCCAGTGGTCCTCAACTTTTGAGGACTTTTAAAAAATGAACATAGCCAAACATGCCCATTTACATAGTAATTCGCTAACAGCGCGCAAGTATAACATTGTATTAATTTTTTTTTGCATATCCGCCAAATTAAATAGCCGCCAATATGCCAAAAATGGCAAAATCGCCAAATTAAGTAGCGCCAAATTAACCCAATCTACAGTAAATAAATAGAATAAAATAATCATACATATGATGCCTCGACTCCCATGATTTAGCTTGGATATTTGTTTACAACTGCCAAAGCTGACACGGTATAATTATCTCTTGAAACATTTGTGAGGGGCCGTTTCATGACACTGAAGAATTTTTTCTAATGAATTCAGATAGGTATCAAACAGTAGGCAAGTTTTTACACTTTTTGATTAATCTTAAATTGAAATAAAGGACATTCTGATATATGTGAAGTTATGCAAGTCTACAGTAGTCTGTAGTTTAGAATAAACAGATTTGATCCAGGGATTTGACCTATGGCAAGAATGAAGCAATCCCCAACAAAAAAACTATTATTATTAGGCAATGGCAGATGCACAATGGCTCAAAGAAATTCCCAGGGCTCATTTTCAAATGTTTTTGATTGTGTTTTCATTGCAAATTCAGCTTGAAATCAAAACATGATCGCATGGCTTGATACAATCAAAGAATTATTTACCTCTAAATAGATGTAAATTGCAAAATGCATTGTTTTTGAAGATATATCTGATAAAAGACAATCGGAATATTTCAATTAAACTGAACATTCTTTGATAATATTTCGAGAGAATCTTTGCTTTTTGTTTGGTCAAATATCAGAAGTGATTGATCAATTGGTCCAAATAGGTGGGTTTGTTTATGAATACAGTTTGGTAGCTGTCACATGCAATGGGGGGGGGGGGGTAGAAGAATAGGGGTGGAAATGCTAAACTGTTACATTACTTACCCTCCTAAAAGAGGGCTTTAGATATTATTGAATTTAGTGGAGATAAATATGACCCACATTCCTGATACAATATCTGAAAAAATTCATATTTCAACAAATGATCTGGGGAACATACTAGAATCGGGTTGTATTCCTCAAGGTCAAAAATTCAATCTTTTCTATTGGACTTTTGCCATTTGCTGTAATATTTGTGTTATTACTGAATTACTAAACAAACTGTTATGAATGGGAAGCAATATTATTTCCACATTTTCTTGTCAGTACAGTTGTTGTAAAAAACTCATTCATTCATTTGCCATCCCTTACTTATCTCAATACCAGCGGGCGATAATTGCATCATTCGCAAATATTACATTTACATATGATATTATGACATAAGGCCAGAAACAGTTTTCTTATATGTAATATGAATATACAATTGTTTGGATATAACCAAAAGTTCATTACATCATGACATCAGGGATATAAAGTCAGCACATGTCTGTTTTACGCCACATGGCACGATTGTCAAATGATGTTTCAAAGGGAATAAGTTTACTTTGAAATATATTTTGTAAATAAAAATAAAACACTGGCCTCGGTCGAAAGCGCTTAAGTTTTAAAATTAGAATACTATAGTGTTTGAGTATTTAGGCTTTTTCACTTGTCTTTTTATGTTGTAAGGCCAAAAATATGATTACTGCATTTAGTCATCGATTGATGGTCCAACACATGTATTTCAATCAATTTCTTGTATTTTTAATGAAAAATTTTGCAGTGCTCTTTCCACTGCAATTATTTTCTGTGAAGTTAATCGATTAAAAAACTCTTATTTTGTTATTGAAATGCGTGGGAATTTGAAACTAATGTATATTAGTACTTCGATTTTGCATTGGTAAGAGCGAAATAGTGCCTTGTAGTTTACAAGCCACATAAACGACTTCAAGGATATCCTATTGTCGCAAGTTGACAACAACTTGTCAGAATAACTTGACACACGGCATGGCAGCTATTGACAGTTTCGTCTTAAGAAATTGTATTCATGTGGGTAAATAACAGTTAAAAATAACAAAAGAGTTGTTCTTTTTGCTAAGTACACGAGATTCTGACTGATCTTTAGTGTAAACATGTCTCCATTCTTCATTGTAATTAGTTAAATGCATTGAAATACTTCAAGGTCAAAATGTTTTTTGAGATGTTTTTCTTCGATCAGATGAATACCTATTTTTTGTAGAGAAAAACACATTTGAACCCCAATGCATGCAGATTTCTATTGATTGACGGATGCCATGTTACATGGGCCTTGACATTGTGCTTTCACATTGCCCTTTGCCTTAAACTTTCCAAAGGGGTTAGACAAGAGGTCTGGTAAATCAAAATGGAACATTGTTATCTGCAAAACATTCATAGTCTAGTCAGTAGTCACATATTACAAAATAATGCAATTATACAGTGAAACCTGTATATTCAAACACCTCTCCAATTTAACCACCTCTCAACTAAATGTGAACATTTTTTCTTGGTGCCAATTTTTAACTCCCATTGACTCACATGGTAATTAAACCTTGAAATCTGAACACCTTCTCATCCAAACACTTTTTGCTGGTCCCAGGGGCATTCAGATTAGACAGGTTTTACTGTAGCTATTAAGATTACAATGTGATTAATATGAACATCCTCAAGTGGTAGCCATGTACATCGTGTATTGACTTTCTGCAGCCATATTTTGTAAAAGCATTTAACATGGTGCAATTAAAATAAAATGGTAAGAAAGGATGACAAGTATAACTTTGACTTTACCTTAATTATTTTTATGCACTAAGTTAGTCTATTTCACTGAAAATAGAGTCATCAAGCTTAAAATGTGTTCGAGCCTTAAGAGCCTCTCAATCGTAATCCATAATTATTTTGAAATTGAATGTCAGGAAATATGTGCAATTGTTTCAGTTGTAAGAGTTGTCATGTCTTATTTGAGAAACATAGTAATTCTTTAGTAGTATGTCATTAACATATTAATTGAGAGTTAAGTCATTAGTCAACATGTCTTATCGGAGAGACGATGTCATAGTGCCATTGACATAGTCATGAGAGTTCAGTCATTAGTCTACATGTCTTATCGTAGAGATACTGTAGTAGTGTCGTTGACACAATTGTTGTGTCATGGCAACCTTTAAAAGTAGCCCACAACAGTAATCTACAAAATAGCAACAATTGTAAGTGTTGGCATTCTCATGTTCATAGGATCTCTCTTAGTCTCACTCTGCATCACACAGAAGGACAAAGATGGAGAAAGTGTGGGTTGCCACAAAGTGTCAGTGTTTGCAATACTGTAAAGTTCTCACTTTTTGAATATTGTTCAATTCAATGGGATCATTGAAATTCAACTTAAAAAAGTGGCAGAGGTACTCTACAAAAAATAGAATAACATGTTTGTATAGCATTGTAAACATGGTGTCACTGTGACTCGAACAAGATCATGGATCATTTATCCTGATATAATACATTTATGATAAGGCAGTATTTATCAGCTTGACTGTTTAAAGTAAAATCTGGCTAATTCAAGCAAACTTTGGGTCAGCCAAAAGCTCAAATGAGATGTTCACATTGTTGGCTTCCACAGATACTGTCTATTGAAGAGTGCTTGATAAAGAGGGACATGTCCACATTTCAAGGCTTTCTTTTACCATCAATAAGAGTCAAGTCAATAACAGATTATAAAAAAAGTTTTTGAAATTTTTTAGATTAGAGATGTGTTCTGATATGTTTCACTGTATGTAAATATTTATAGATGACTTTTTAACACCAATATTCTTGTGTTATTCCAGACAGTACCCCCACAAATAATGGAGCCGATAAAAAGACAAACTTCATGAGTCAAATACGCGTACAACAGCTAAGGGATAAAGCCCAGGTAAATTATATGTTTGGATCTTGTCATTAGAGCATATTTTCATTAATCTCTTCAAGACAGTTATTTCATTATCATTCATATATACAAACCCTGGTGACCTCCAATGTAAAATTATCATTTTACATTAACTAAGTATATAAATCGTTATCTGTCAAACCATTAAGGAGGTGGATGCTGCATCATCTTGAAATTTCATCTTTTAATTTTAGAACTAGGCTCATACCCATCTGAAAAACAATTTGTACCCACTTGAACTAGAGACAAACCTTCCAAAATGGGCATAATTTGAGTATCTTTTAGGTCAGAATTGTGAAAATGAGAATTTTGCACACAATTAAGGAAACAATCCCAAATAGAACAATGCAGCTATCCTGAAATTAAAACTCATATTTTTTTCCAGAATGTCCGAGGTGAGATAATTGACCAGCTAGATTCCCAGCTGAATGATTTAATAGATGACTTCACAAATGGAGTGGATGCTTTGGACACTGCAGAAGGGACAGTCCCTGCTAGAGCTAATGGTCATTACAGACAACCAAGGTGAGTACATGGGGGTGAGGCGTGACCCTTATCCTGCTAAAGCCCATACCCCACCTCCTACTCTCCTGACCTCCTGGGGGATAAGTTGATGGGGAGAGGGGTTTGGAGGGTTGACCAAAGACTATCACGACCCTAGCGTGTATCAAAGAAATCCTTTAACATCTTTGGTGATCATGCTAATTTTACATCCTCCTTTCTTTGATTTGTGAGAGAGAAAAAGTGCAGTAGAAAAATGCAACACACCTAAAGTATTACACTGGCTCCATCCCATTCATTATGCCATAACCTGGGGATGAGGTCCCCGTCTAGGTCCGAGTTGCGTGAATTTATAAAACTCAACCATGTAATATTGTTCACACATGTGTCTTATCCTTCCATCTTTTCAGAAAACTCATTTTAAGATATTTATTTAGGACAAATGATTATGATATATATATTTAGACAGGCCCGTAGCCAGGATTTGCCAAGGGGGGATTCACTTTTCAAAAATTTCCAGGGGGGTTCACAATTGACAATTATTGAAAGAATTTTTGGCCAGGGGGTGGTTGGCCCGAACCCTGCGTAGCCCTCCTGGCTATGGGCCTGTTTAGAAGCTAATACATGTTACAATGTACAGTATAGTACATATTTATACTTTTAGTCACCATCGGGGACCAGGAAATGAACTTGAAGAGAAAGTGTTCCAGATACGAAGATCAGTACTTACGTAAGAGCTTTAGATTATTAAAGGAAACAAATTGGAAACCCATTTACTATATACCTAAATAATTAAGATTGGAATTCAACATTGTCATTACGTTGGAAATAGCTCCTAAAAGCTTATTTTAACATATACGGAGACAATATCAAATATCAAAGTATCTAGAGATATCATGTAACTCTACTAGTCATATGGCTATTTATATTCAACTACAGATACTTTATATATTAATATGCTAAAATTTCCCCCTGCTTCCTGTATCATCTCATTCGAAAGTGTCGTTAACTGATAAATTTATTTCAACGAAACCTTATTATTTGTTTTAAATACAAAACTGTTTATTTTCTCTGAAAAGATATTTTTTGAAATAAAGGAATATTGTTTAATTGTATTTGAACTAATGAAACTGAAAATGAACACTTACAAATTAGTTATTTGTTTTTCTTCAGAGAGCTGTTACAGATCAACCACATACGAACAATCTACCATATATTCATCGCCATCATGATTATATTCAGTCTCAACACAATGCTATATGACATCATAGAGAAAGGATAGTAAGTGACATCTATAGTCTAAATACAGAATCAGGTTTTCTGGATTCAATTGTGATAACACGAAATTTTCTTCATATTGTTGCTATACCAACCAATTTGTTTGCAATCCGTGATATTTGGACTTTCTATGGGTGATAACATTTCAATGTGTGAATATCCAGTTCAGTATCCTTGTATCCAGTTAGAATACCCCACATGTGTTCTCCACCATTCCAGTCAGTTCTTAGTGCAGTTTTGCAACATGCATAAAAAGCACTAAAAAATAAATAAAAAGAAGTAAAATGAATTAACCAAGTTGTCACGTTTACTCAACCTCCGATCACAGGGCTTCTAAATCCAGAATATTTCTTTCTTTTTACCCCCTGCGATAAGCAGATAGCATTTCTCCGATTAAGAACTCGCAATCTGATTGGCTGTCGCAACACTGCGACAGAAATCATGTATAAGTCATTGCGCATAATAAGATCATGTGATTCAGCTTAATCGAGCGCTTCCAAATTGGTTATAGCAGGGGGGAAGAAGGAGGTACGGATTCTGGAGACCTGCTTAGGAGGATGCGTTTACTGCACTATGAATAGACTACCGGTTTTGGGAGTAGTTCACATACCCTACCAATTCTTTCCTATTAGATTGGACTTGTTGGATTAGAATGGATCTTAAAACCAATATCACTATCGTAGAGATGTAGCTAGAAAATAAAATAGTATTTAAAACGTAGCAATGGGTTAAATGCCTTATAGTAGTTCGCAGTCAGTTTGCTTACTAATGCCTCAGTCACATTTGATCTACAGCAACTGTACGGCGGGCGTAACTTCCCAAAATTGAGAGAAATATGCAGCATAAATATAGGGATACAATGTAGATTTTCTCTATCGATTTTGTAGAGCTATGACTGCCGTGAGGCTGCCTTTGAGCATATGTGACTGAAAAAAAAAAAAAAAAAAATGTGACTGAGGCTTTAGTATCTGTGCAATTAGTGGTAAATGCATTCTCTGAAGTGAGGAATCATCAATCTGGTATGCCAGAGCCCCTCTTATCTGCCATTTGCGACTTTGGAAGGATAAAGACAAAGGGGGCGCGGCTATCGCGATGAGGAATTATTTACACTTACTACTTTGAACTCATGGTTTTAAGCCATGATAAGTCCTAAAGTGGGTGATAACACCACAATAAGGCACTGAACTTCATACAACATTTTCTCCATTAGTGCGTCAAGTCTTGTGCTCTATTCCCCTATCAAGTACTATATGTAGAACCCCACCATTTACTAATAGACCTCCTTTGTTTGTGTGTTTCAGTTTAAGTTTAGAATTTGAAATGATGCTTTGGGCATTTGGCAAGTTACCTCAGGTCATGTACCTATGGACTTGTATGTCTATTTCAACCCTTGCTGTTTATCCCGTCTTCAACTTTTGGGCTAATAATAGGATAGCTGGACCCACAGGTATAAGGCTTTTAAATGGGTTTAAAAATGCATTGTTTGAAATCAGCACTATCACTTAAGGATTATTACTGTTTTCATGTATGAATGTATTGTAAGAAGACAAAATTAAAAGTATGTGTACAACAGATCATATGAAGAAACAAACCCGAATATTTCAAACAATGACCAAAGAAACAGAAACAGTATCCAACATTGGTGTGATATTTTACACTATTGGACAACACATTTTATTCCTGTTTATTTTAATATATGAAGCAAAGCTAACAAATAGCCTGTTCTATGAGTACAATTCATTATAGGTGATAAACTTGAGTTTAACATACCAATCATAGACATAGTAGCATGTGAGATGCTTACTGGAGAAAAATTTGAATATTTGTATTCCATTGCTTACATTTTCTCACACACTCTGTTTGAAATATATGATTGATTAAACTGTTTCTTTATATTTCAGGTTTGTTTGATAATGCATTTATTGTGCTATACATCATTTACATGATAGCATTCCTTGTGTGGCCAGTTACTTACATTAACATGGAAAATATGCCTCCTGCTTCATCTGTCACATTAGCATGCGAACAGGTATGTGGATATTTATACAGTAAAACCTATCTTGGTGAAACACCTTTGGTAGCTCTAAATAGGGGAACTGGTCAACTCAACCCCAAGTCAAGTCAACCCTTAGTCAACTTGACCCCAAGTCAAGTCAACCCTTAGTCAACTTGACCCCAAGTCAAGTCAACCCTTAGTCAAGTCGACCCCAAGTCATCTCAACCCTTAGTCAACTCGACCCCAAATCATCTTAACCCTTGGTCAACTCAACCCTTAGACAACTCACCCCACCATTTAAATATCTATAAAAACAATTATTATATTATGATATTGATGAATTTAAAAGAATTAGGGAATTGGGGTCGAGTTGACTAAGGGTTGAGTTGACCAAGGGTTGAGATGACTTTGGGTCGAGTTGACTAAATTTTTTCAAAATCATGCATTTTTCACATTAGTTTGAGCACTTTTCAAATGATTTAGGGCCAAAATTATCAAATTGTCTCTCAGCAAAAGCTGTCTGTGGACTGATACTGTACTATAGTTCTTATATCAGGTGAATTAACCCCCAGTATATATATACGGAGTTTTAGACCTCATCTAATATCAGATTTTTGTTTTCTTCTTTTATAGGTGAGGTTAGTGATGAAAACACATGCATTTGTTCGTGAAAATTGGCCAAGAGCTCGCAACTACAAGCCTCATTCTGATGATGATAATCATGACGAGGGACCATGCCCAGATTTCGGGAAATATCTCTATTTCCTGTTTGCACCCACTTTGATCTATAGAGACAGTTACCCACGGTGAGCATGAACAATATTTTACATGTATAACATAATTATGATGGTATTGTGATTATTATGAAATTTGAAATATTTGTATGTAAAAATGTATTTTTTAAACAAATAAGAAGTTTAAATGATTGTTAACTATTGTATTATAATACCACAAATTGAAATACATTTTAAATCTATATTTAAAAAGACAAAAACAAACATTGTACATGCAGCAGGTGTTATTTGAATACAATACAATAATAAATACAATACAATACAATACAATACAATACATCTAAGAACAATAAGCTAGTAAAAGCTGTATGCACATGGATTATTTATAAAAAAAAGTGTGAATAGTTAATGTTGCGCTAACTATTTCTCCATTATCACCTCACTCAGAAAAGAACATTATTGTATTTAATATCTTATTGCCCAATATTAAAATGGAGATACTATACAGATATTGAATGATGTTGAGTGCAATACCTGTATATATTTCTGAGGCTGTATTCCACGCAGCCCGAAATTGGATAAATAATGCCACATGTTCAAAATAGTCTATTCATGTGACGTCACACACAGTCTATCAAATGGAACTATGTTACGGTGCCTTTGCTCTTTGTTACATAAGAACCTGCATGTTTTTATCTACCACATTTATACAGTGCTATATAGTACTATTACATGTACAGTGTACATCATAAAAATGCTCTAATTTCAGAACCAAGTCTATCAGATGGAACTATGTGGTGTCTAACTTTGCTCAGGTGTGGGCCTGCATGTCTTCCACTTCTAACGTTGCACCACAATGTTATATAGTACTATTTGCTCTAATTTCAGAACCAAATCTATCAGATGGAACTATGTGGTGTCTAACTTTGCTCAGGTGTGGGCCTGTATGTCTTCCACTTTTGCACCACATTGTTACATAGTACTATTTGCTCTAATTTCAGAACCAAATCTATCAGATGGAACTATGTGGTGTCTAACTTTGCTCAGGTTAGCGCCTGCATGTCTTCCACTTTTGCACCACATTGTTACATAGTACTATTTGCTCTAATTTCAGAACCAAGTCTATCAGATGGAACTATGTGGTGTCTAACTTTGCTCAGGTGTGGGCCTGTATGTCTTCCACTTTTGCACCACATTGTTACATAGTACTATTTGCTCTAATTTCAGAACCAAGTCTATCAGATGGAACTATGTGGTGTCTAACTTTGCTCAGGTGTGGGCCTGTATGTTCTACGTCTACTACATCTTCCAGAGATTCTGTGTGCCTGTATTCCGCAACTTTAGCCAGGATCATGTCACCGTCAAAGCATTAATTCTATCTGTATTCAATTGTATGCTTCCTGGGACACTGGTGCTGTTTATTGGTAAGTTAGGGGAAAGGCATCTTCGCACGCTCCGGTCTTCACTACGTTCATCGACCGACGGGAGCCGAGTGAACGAAGATGGGGGAAAGGGCTTTCTCTTGTTTTACACTAGCGTAGAGTTCATATATGATACCATTTTGGCTAAATGTATAATCACAAACATGAACACTAAATCAATATGATTAAATCAATTGAACACTGAAGTCAAATCGTCTTATGCATTTGCATGAAGGATGGGTTATTCTGTATTTGTATATTAAGTAACATTATAAGTTGGTATTATGAGTGTTATTTGAATGCACTTTTCATGTCTATTTCAGACATGAAATCATATTTTCATTTCATTCCACATATATTTCTATGTCAGAATAGCCCAATAGCATGGTCTGACAACCGTTTCTTTATTTTGTAGCATTCTTTGCTGTACTCCACTCTTGGCTGAATGCCTTTGCAGAGATGCTGAGGTTTGGAGACAGACTTTTCTACAAGGTATGAAACATTATTTTATGTTAACAATGATCTAGGGGAAAGCCTAGGGTATCTAAATGTATTAAATTGAGTGAGTACATCACAAGGATTTCAAATCTACTGGTCAAAGTGGATTATGTTAAGACCAGTTTCCATATAATGCTGTACACCTCTGATCCACATTCTGAAATCATTGCGCTTTAACATACTCTGTTGCGGATTGGTTGGCCTGTTATATGCATTTAAGGGTGTGATTGAGAAAAAAATGAAAAATATATTTTCTGGAATCTTTGCCATGGTGTTACAGGAGGGAAACCATTCTTGTAGCTAGAAAGGGGTCAGTGATTCATGTGATTCTTATTTTCTCTTTAGGATTGGTGGAATGCTACATCATTTGCCACATACTACAGGACATGGAATGTTGTAGTCCATGACTGGCTTTATACCTACATATACAAGGACTTCTTTGCTGTGAGTACAACATTGGGACACGTCTTTCACTTAAGAAATCAAAATAGATAGTATAAAATCTATATAATTTGCAAGAGTCAAATTATTGTATTATTGTTAGATTCTTAGCATTCAGCACCATGGTGGCATGAAATTAAAAACATGCGAAAATCCTATCCTCGATAGGGTGCCCTAGCTAATCTAAAGAGCGTGGAAAGCAATTATAAACATGAACCATGTACATGAGGTTTTGTTATCTGCCCTGTCCTATTAAATACCCTTTGTCCTATTAAATACCCTTTGTCCTATTAAATACCTATTAAATACCCTTTGTCCTATTAAATACCTATTTAATACTCTTTGTCCAATTAAATACCTATTAAATACCCTTTGTCCTATTAAATACCTATTAAATACCATTTGTCCTATTAAATACCTATTAAATACCCTTTGTTCTATTAAATACCTATTAAATACCCTTTGTCCAATTAAATACCTATTAGATACCCTTTGTCCTATTAAATACCCTTTGTCCTATTAAATACCTATTAAATACCCTTTGTCCTATTAAATACCTATTAAATACCCTTTGTCCAAGTAAATACCTATTAAATACCCTTTGTCCTATTAAATACCCATTAAATACCCTTGTCCTATTAAATACCGATTAAATACCCTTTGTCCAATTAAATACCTATTAAATACCCTTTGTCCAATTAAAGAAACACTATCATTTTGTTTCAGATATTTGGAGCCAGGTCTAGCGTGTCAAATGTTGGTGCCAAGGCATCTGTATTCCTGCTTTCTGCAATATTCCACGAGTACATCTTGACTGTTTCATTCCGCTTCTTCTACCCAGTTCTCTTTGTGCTCTTTGCTGGTGCAGGATGTAAGTTAATGAAAGGGACTAACTCCCATATTGAACCCCATGCCAAATTGGAAATCAGGTGTTAAAGATTTAAAGAAAATATATAGGGATGGTGAATTTTTGAATATGTTGGTACTTTTGCCTTTAAGCCTGGATGACAATTACATAACATCACCACTCCCATAAAGAAAAATGATTTGATCCTCTCATTTACAAATCATGTTTTGTATATTATAGTATTTGCTTTTAAAGATTTTCATTCTTTAAATTTGATATGCAGTGTTTTTATTGGTAATGTGATCTTTATCATCTAAGATTAAGAGTATAAGTAAAATTATAGTTTTTTAGAGTCTAGATTATTTGTTATTTATAGCCCAAGCTGTATTTACTCCCCTGGGCTTATTTGTTATGTCAAGATAGCAAACATATACTGTATACTGCATACATGTATATGTACAGCTATAAAACCAAGTCTGTTTATTTTCAGTTTTGATCATGTTCCTGCGTGGTAGATCTCGGGGATGGAATGTGTTCATGTGGGTAGGACTATTCATGGGAACGGGAATCCTAATGTGCCTTTACAGCATGGAGTGGTATGCCAGACAAGATTGCCCCATCGATACAGTGAGTGATGTCTTTGAAATATAAAAAATTTGAAAATGTTGATTTGTGAATTTGAATTAAAAAAAATTATCCACTCTTTTAATCTCCTTTTAATCCTGAAGTTAGAATTAGGTTAGAATTAACATTTTCCACATCTCCTGACATAATTTCTAATTGATTTCTGACATCTGATGGATATATTTAAAAAAAATCGGCATTACTATAATTACATGTAGTTCTCCATAATTTATTTACTATTCAAAAAAATTGTAATTAACTAGTTGAAAATATATTCCAAGATTTGTATTGATAATGGCATAATGAGGAATTGACTATCAGTTATTTTATTTATTTATTTTTGTAATTTTTTTCTTCTCTTGTCTGTTTAAGTGTTTATTCAATATTTTATGATTAAAATGCAATTTTGATTTAATTCCAGGAAAGTTGGTTAAATGAATACCTGGTTCCAAAGTCATTGTCATGTGACTTTTTAAGAATGCATGAGCAGCAGAACAATATAACTGAGAAAATGAACAAGGCCTGAATCTGTCTCAAATTAATGTTTGACGAGTCATATAATTCACAAATGTATCTCAAATCACAAACCGACCACTAAGAGAAATTAGTTTTATACAATACAATGCAGGAAAATTGGGTGATGGTTGAGGGGAAAAGTTTAATAATCTTATCGACCCTTCATCACTGAATACACTTCCATGACCATGTCATTATGTCACTGGTCTATGGGCAAATGCTTACTTACTGCACATTGTAATTTTTGTTCAGATCTTTTGCTAGGATATAGATGGTGTTGCATCGTGTCATATATACATTATGTGTACTACATTATGTCGAGCGAATTTCCTTATAAGGGGGTTAGGGCCAGAGGGTGCTTTCATTATTGAATAATTTTCCGAAACTGTCAACATTTTAACACATGGATCCTTGCTACAAGAAATTTTGTAAAATAATGATAATGGCAGTCTATTGTGACATTACAAGTTCCCTGTGTAAGGAAAAGGCTAAAAAATCAAACCTTTTAAGAAGAAAAAGCTAACGAACAAAAAATATTATTAGTTTATTGAGAAATTGCAGTATGATCAAAATGTGCCATCGAAACAGATATACTATTAAAAGCTATATAAATGCATGTTTTAAGCGTTTTGTAACAAGTTAACAAACATTGACAGATTTCATTCCATATTTTATTTTGAACTGGAATGCTATTAACCACCATTTGTTAGGTAGCTGTGGGTATTATTCTTGATTTTTGTAAAACCCGTAATTATCAAACACATCTTTGTATTTTTCTCGATGAGAGCCACTGTATATGAGCAAGGGGCAATGTCTATAAGTGTTTACAATTGTTGCTATAGGGATAAGCTTTGTGTGTATTGTGCAATCACATTAAGTGACCTTTAGTGGGTAGACAGGAATAAATAGGCAAGACATCAAAAAAAGGCAAAACTTATATTAAACATCTATGGGACATAATTTTCATATTTCTCATGGAAAAATGTCTTAAAATTGTTTTATAAAATTTTGGGGAGGCAACTTTTTGCCTCACCTGAGTCAAAGCTAAGTATGCTTATGACATTGTCATTAGAATTGTATATAATATGTGGAGGATGGGGAACCAATTATAAAAAACTAATATTTTAGCATAGACAAGTGGAGATTAACATGCTGGTACCATTCAGTGTATCAGGAAAAATAGTGTCTATGCAGTATGCATAAAAATAATGTGTTACACTTAATACTGAGGTTACAAGTAACATTTACAACTTAAAACATGAAAATCAATAATATTCCACAGACTCGATTCTTTGTTCTTCAGTAATGAATAACTTTTGAAGAAGATTTTTTTGAATCGAGTCTTTGTGATATTCTGACTTTAGAATGTCGACAGCTCTACTTACCTCCTAATCCTTGTTAACCAATGTCTTCATATATGTATATTAGGTTACCAGTGTACCAGTATGTGAATCTCCAGTGAAAAATGCTTACTTTATATTTTTACAAGAACAGTGAAAATGATTCCTTGTACTATAGTATGTCCATGACTGTGTCATGTTAGCGTATGGAAAATATTTTTAATATTAAATAATTTGGACCAAATTTATCAATTTCGCGGCAAAACTGATTTGATTTTCAGAGCAGAAATGTTACGTCGCATGACAAGATTGTCAAATGACACTTAAGGAATCAGTTTTCTGAGAAATGCGATTTTGTTTGTAAATAAAAATAAAAGTCAGTTATGGTTGAATTGTAAGACATCAGGCTTTTGCTGTGCATAGTTCAAAGTAAGCGAATCGCTTCTTTCAACTCCATGGTTAAATGTGATGATGCTTAATCCTAACCCACCATAGTAAATGTAAACAATCACACCTTTGCTTGTGTTTTGTATTTTTTCTTATTTAATTAGTTTGTTCAGTGCCATTTTCCATCAATGGAGACCAAATGCACTTATACAAGGTGATCCCAAAAATAGAGCCACCATAAAGCGTTATCAGTTCCTTTTTCAATGGATCTGTTTTTGGAGTCATCCTGTATGCCTGCTACTTGCAATGCTTCAGTATTCAATGCAGCTTTTTTTTAATTCATTTATTACGAGTGATATTGTTTAATTTGAATGAAATGTATGTGTTGTCTGTATTAGTTAGTTCTACATTTTTAAGTATTTCATTGGCCAAACAAAGCAGAAGGCCTCTGAAGTCAGGAAAATCAAGCTTTTAGTGCATACATTGTAATTTTTGCATAGAACCATTTTTGTATTTATGGAATTAAATGATTCAAGTCAGCAATAAAGGTTTATGCCCCTCTATGGCAAGAAGTTAATTTTCTTGATTTCCAGAGTGTTTTCAAAATATTTTGCAACACATTTATAATGCGCATCCTGTTATTAACAAATCAGGTTTGGCCCATGCCCCTGTATTCCAAGAAGTTGATTTTCTTGATTTCAAGAGTGTTTTCAAAATATTTTGCAACACATTTATAATGCGCATCCTGTTATTAACAAATCAGGTTTGTCCCATGCCCCTCTATGCCATAAGAAGTTGATTTTCTTGATTTCAAGAGTGTTTTCAAAATATTTTGCAACACATTTATAATGCGCATCCTGTTATTAACAAATCAGGTTTGTCCCATGCCCCTCTATGCCATAAGAAGTTGATTTTCTTGATTTCAAGAGTGTTTTCAAAATATTTTGCAACACATTTATAATGCGCATCCTGTTATTAACAAATCAGGTTTGTCCCATGCCCCTCTATGCCATAAGAAGTTGATTTTCTTGATTTCAAGAGTGTTTTCAAAATATTTTGCAACACATTTATAATGCGCATCCTGTTATTAACAAATCAGGTTTGTCCCATGCCCCTCTATGCCATAAGAAGTTGATTTTCTTGATTTCAAGAGTGTTTTCAAAATATTTTGCAACACATTTATAATGTGCATCCTGTTAACAAATCAGGTTTTTCCCATGCCCCTCTATGCCATAAGAAGTTGATTTTCTTCTTTTTAAGAGGGTTTTCAAAAAGTATTTCACAAAACATTTGTAATGTGCACCCTGTTATTAACAAATCACAATAGTTTACAAAAGTTTTAAACTTTTATTTGTGAACAGCAGTGTATCAAGTAGAAATAAATGAATAAATCTCATAAATAATTCAATTTGTGTTTTTTTATTTATTTTTAAGAGGTTGTTGATTTAGTTTTGCAATATTTTTAAAGAATAAATCAAAATATTGCAGAACTAAATCAATTTGTTATTTTTAAGAGAATAAGATTAATCTTCTGGGATAACATTGAGTGTAACTCAAGATGTATAGTGGAGTCCCTGGGTGACTCAATGTATACTTTTCAGTGCTCTTTAGCAAAATAGACTTATTTTTCATTTTCAATGTACAGTAAGACCTGTCTAAGTGGAACACCTTGGTATCTTTGAAATGTGTTCCATTTGGGAGGCGTGTCTCTTATAGAGGTTCATTTAACATTAAGTCTTGGGAAGCAAGTGTTTCACTAACAGGAGTGTTCCACTTTACAGGTTTCACTGTACTGCTAAGAACTAAATCTTTCATCGGACACCAGAGACAGCTCAAAGTGACCATATCATTTTTATGAAAGTTTTTCCAATGTTAAACGAAAGATGTGCTTCTAACCATGTGATTTATTCGTTTTTGGTCTATATGTTCCAACTGTATGCCATCTATTTATTCAAAAGTAATTTAATAAAAACACATTTTTAAAAAGGTGCTTGTGCCACTTTATATCTCTGAAATTCTAAAATGCTGTTTTCTACGTTAGCTGTTCTTTTTTTCACTTAAATATTTCCATAAAAGAAGCTTTGAATTGTATTGATTTGATTGTGGGAGAAGGGATGTTAGACAATGTTTCTTTTTGTGCCAATTTGAGATATTGGGGTTTTGTTTTCATCCTTTAAGATTAAGCTCTTGTCTATTCTTACTGCTTACTGTGTTTAAGTAATACTTTTTGGTCTTATCACTTAAAGGAACATTCCTGGCCAGACCATTTCTATCCCGATATATGATAGCTATATTCATATACCTGACCTCACTTCCCGAGTGAAATCTTAAAAGATGGCAGCCAACTGGAATTGAGCACATTTTCTAATTGATCAATATTGACCATATCAAAACATATTTATGCGTTTTGTTAAACATGGAACAGATACATATATGGTTATAGCTACCATATAAGAAGAAAGATGGTCTGGCAAGGAATATCCCTTTAAGGCACTTGCGCTTCCATATGTAACAGAAAATAAAAATAATCTAATAATTTATTTCATCTGTTTTATTGTTGTCCAACAGTCAGTTTGTAATAAGCATTATTCATATATTTACATTTGGCAACATTGGTAGAACGAACAACAGTAATATAAAACACATTCCAATTTGCATGGAGAATTGTACATACCTGTATACATATATTCACTATCCTTATATGTCAAAGAATCAATTTGCAAATTGCAACTTTTACACCAATAATTTATCAGCTGAGTTTCCTCATGCCTAGGTCACATTTGCTCCGATTCATCGGCCGCCTGATTGCGTAATTTGTTCAAAATTGAAGTTCAAATCTCAAATCTGAGGTTAGATATGAACTGCTGAGAACTTGTACACGATTTAAAAAAGCTAGTTCAATTTGAAGCAAGTTGAAATCAATTTTGAACAAAATACTGCAATCGGTCGGGTGCCGGCTGATGAATCGGAGCAAATGTGACTGAGGCATGAGTTCAATGGCACCGTCTTGTACTCAGCCCTAAAGAAGTAACCCTCCATTTATGAACAGGGGGACAATTACCAAGTTCAGTCCATTGCTCTTTCCAGGCACTGTGTGCAAGACTGAAAACATGAACCTGTAGTATATACAGCATGGTGTAATACAATTGATACATCTTTCTATATTCAACAACCAAGTAACAATTATGGTCAATGTCATATTGGAACTGTAGAACCATATACCAGTGGTGTACCTGGTGTACCTTCAATCCTTAAATAACAGTGCACTGTATGTAGGTAAAACAATCAACCTCTCATTCAGTGAATACTCCAACTCCCAATTGGATAATTTGAAATACCATTTTTATAATATAAATGTACACTGGGTCTAAAGGTGTCCATACTACACTACAGTCTCTTGTAAAGAGACTGTACGGACAGCCTATACTTCTTCTATTACTCAGATGCCAGTAGGTAGTTACCACTTTAGCCACCAGGTGGAAAATGCCCTTTAACTTCAATAATCATCAGTTTTAGTGGTTCACTTTTCATATTTCTCTTATGTACCTGATAGTTATACAAATTAAAATATGTCCAGTAAAACAAAATATTACCTGCCAAACACAAGAAAAGATATTTTAGTTTTTGTCATTTTACAACATGGGGTCTATGGGGAATCTCCCAGACCTAGAAGTCAAATTTTCAAAGAAAATTGTATTTTCAGAGTTGATAAGCTCTTTTCAAAACCACATTTCTAGATGTAATTTTACATTCCAAATACGACATCAGTTTGCCTGAATTTTGAATTTTTATTGAATTTAATCAAGATAATTTCTACTCGCATCTGGTGTATTACATTAGGCTGGATTTCTGACAAATCAGCTGAATTTTTTAAATAGCCAAACATACACAGGCCAACCAGTCCAATAGGGGAGCTGGCATTAACAGACTTTTGGCTAGAGTGTACAGCATACTTGTAAATACCAGTTTGTTAGAAAATGTCAAATATAATGTTGGACCAGTAGAAATTTTAGCATGCATAGAAAAATAATGTGTCAATAGTCCACATTTCAGTTTTGAGAAGTATGAAAATCCTGGTACATCACAGCTCTTCACACATATCACTTCATGCATACCACTTCATGTACATGTATACCACTTTATGCATTATCTTTTATTGACTAAGTTTCCTCGAGATGCAGGTAACTGCCTATGACTATGACTTAAACATAAAGTAGGGTATATAGTCAGAACCCGTCTTTATGCCAGATCCAGCGTTTCACAATGTGATGAAATGTATGTGTTCTCCATTGTTTCTCTAGCAGTTGGAACCTTTCCTCACTCAAGTGTAGTGGTTTTCCTCGCCTGAAACATCAATGGATAACTGTAATACATACTGAAATATTGATGTTTTAGTTCCATAGTTACCTTCTATTAACAGTCGATAAGAGAACTATAAAGTATGATTTGTGACAGGATATTGAAATTTTGTCTCTATCACCAAAATTTGCTTACTTTAAGTCCCGATCTTCTTCCCCATGGTCATCAAGATAGATGGAGCCCCAAAGAGCTGCTCGAGTGCCACGCACAACCACAATAAATGATGTGTTGATGATAAGATAGAGGGCAGTTCCCGCCCCACATTCAATAGAGTGCTGAAAGTAACAAAAAAACATACATGAAACATGAAAATAGAGTTATAGGTATTATCATGGTTCACATAATCAAATTAAAATCATATTGGTCACTATGCCATATATGCCTACTGAAGTTATTTTTCGATAATATAAATAGTGGCCATTTTGAATTCCAGTGTCAGATTTTTCATCAAACTCCTCGTTACCACTGGAGCCATGAACTTACACAATCCTAGAATTTATCTGAAAAAATTGATCAATTTTCAGGATATCTTAAGTTAATCCAGATTACTTTTTGGATCAAACAAACTCCCAGGCCATGGTAGTTTCAATCTTTGAAATCTGTACATATTCCCATGGCACATTTTACATATGCCGCCTATTAGATCATAAATAAACAAGGCATTAACATGTAAAATGACGCCAGCCAACAAAAACTAACTGCAGAATGCCAAACACCACAGCAACAACAAAACAAACAAAAAAGTTAAAGACTATATAACAATATGTCATCACATGTGGTGTTGACATGCTCAAGAATGAGTCCACCCGCTATGGCTCAGTGGCAGAGAGAGTCAAGGTTACCAATATTGCTTGGCCCCGGGTTCGATTCCCGGTTCAGACAAGTTTGTTTGTGCGTTATGTAATTCTGGGTGTTTGACTGAGTGGTTCACGACTCGTATAAAAGGCTGTGGTGTGTACCTGTATGTCTGTGTACCTGTGCACATAAAAGAACACAGGGCTCCTCCAAGGAGGGGTTTCTGGCTCTATCTTCCAGTGTAAAATACGTAAAATACGGAATATACCAATGAGGTATTGCTCGCCAAATATGGCGGTAACCAAGATATAATAATAATAATAATAAAGTACATACCTGCACTGCTTCGTGTTTGCGACCAACAACACAGCATTTCTGCTTGAAGCAGACGAGGCGCCCACAGAGCAGGCAGAGGGCAGGTTCCTTGGAGACATTATTACATGTCGCACATGCAGCGTGACGATAGTGTTGAAACAACACATCATACTTCCTGGGGAGCTGACACAACAGTGGCTCCTGCCAGAGCTTAGGGGTCAGTAATACTTTCTGCAAGGCAATTACTTGAAATGTGATTACATGAGAATATCGTGAACCAGACAATGACACACTGATTGTGTTCACATGACGATATGCTAATACACACAATCTCTCTTTACATTATTACAGGTGATCAAGTCGCTGTCTAATGACTTGGACACATTTGCTCTGATTTTCAATACCAGCACCCAGCCGATGAGTATTTTGTTTCAAACTGAATGTTAATGTAATACTGAATGAATATGATAATAAATAAAAAAATAAAACAAGACACACAGTGATAAATATCACACTTTGAAGAGCAAACTGGCCACCATGCAATTTACCCAGCATGGCCAAAACCTAATCAGACCTTGGCACTAGTCTGCTCTTGCATCTGTAAACATTTCAAGTTGACAAGGTTAGCGGTTTTCCTGCAATTTTGATGACAAAAATTTATTTGTAGTCTTGAACTTTGGGAAAATTTAGATAACATTGTTTGTGACCTAATTTGATGACCTTCGACCTTGAAAATTTCACTTCAGACCTCAGTAGGTGTTTTGTAATTAAGCTGACCTAAATTTAAATCCAAAATATCAATTTAGAAAATCAAATTTTTGACCTTTTTAAGGTCACTGAAGGTCAACGAAAGGTCAAATCTGAAATCTAAGGTCAGATTTGAACTTCTGAGAACTTGTAGATGTTTTTAAAAAAAATTTGGTCAATTTGGAGCAAGTTGAAAAATTCAAAATGGCCACCAAATTGAAAAATTCAAAATGGCCACCATGTAATTCAGCCAGCATACCCAAAACCTAATCAGATCTTGGCAATAGACTGCTCTTGCATCTGTAAAAATTTCAAGTTGAATGGATAAGTGGTTTTCCTGGAATTTTGATGACAAGATTTGTTGAAAAATTCAAAATGGCCACCACGTAGTTTACCCAGCATGCCCTAAACCTAATCAGATCTTGGCACTAGTCTGCTATTGCGTGTGTAAAAATTTCAAGTTGAACAGGTTAGCGGTTTTCTTGGAATTTTGATGACAAGAATTGATTTGTAGTCTCAAACTTTGAGAAACTTGGATAACATCATTTGTGACCTAGTTCAATGACCTTGACCTTTGACCTTGAAACTTTCACTTTTTCAGACCTCAGTAGGTCTTTTGTAATTAAGCTGACCTAAATTTAAATCCGAAATATCAATTTAGAAAATCAACTTTTTTGACCTTTTCAAGGTCACTGAAGGTGAATGAAAGGTCAAATCTGTGACCTAGTTTAATGACCTTGACCTTCGACCTTGAAAATTTCACTTTTTCAGACCTCAGTAGGTGTTTTGTAATTAAGCTGACCTAAATTTAAATCCAAAATATCAATTTAGAAAATCAAATATTTTGACCTTTTCAAGGTCACTGAAGGTGAACGAAAGGTCAAATCTGAAATCTAAGGTCAGATTTGAACTTCTGAGAACTTGTAGATGTTTTAAAAAAATTTGGTCAATTTGGAGCAAGTTGAAAAATTCAAAATGGCCACCAAATTGAAAAATTCAAAATGGCCACCATGTAATTCAGCCAGCATACCCAAAACCTATTCAGATCTTGACAATAGTCTGCTCTTGCATCTGTAAATTTTCAAGTTGAACGGATAAGTGGTTTTCCTGGAATTTTGATGACAAGATTTGTTGAAAAATTCAAAATGGCCACCACGTAGTTTACCCAGCATGCCCTTAACCTATAACTAATCAGATCTTGGCACTAGTCTGCTATTGCATCTGTAAAAATTTCAAGTTGAACAGGTAAGCAGTTATCCTGGAAATTTGATGACAAGATTTGGTTTATGTGCTGCCCGCCCGCACGCCCGCCCGCCCAACAGCACAAGACGATGACAATAAAGCACTTTTTCAAAGTGCGATAAAAATGCTATACAAAATACTCATCGACCAGGCGCCAGTACTGAAAATCAGGGCAAATGTGACCACAACATTAGTTCTCGCTGAAATATTCTCATGAGGTAATAAACAGCTAATTCTGTACAATTTCACCACATTTCACTTTTTGTCTGGTCATTCTCATTCTAGTTGACTTCAGGTTTACTGGCACTTAGAGTTAAATCCAAAATATTTTCTTATTTCCAAGCTGTTTCCACACTTTCACCCTACTTACTTCCACACTTTCACCCTACTTACTTCCACACTTTCACCCTACTTACTTCCACACTTTCACCCTACTTACTTCCACACTTTCACCCTACTTACTTCCACACTTTCACCCTACTTACTTCCACACTTTCACCCTACTTACTTCCACACTTTCGCCCTACTTACTTCCACACTTTCGCCCTACTTACTTCCACACTTTCGCCCTACTTACTTCCACACTTTCGCCCTACTTACTTCCACACTTTCACCCTACTTACTTCCACACTTTCACCCTACTTACTTCCACACTTTCGCCCTACTTACTTCCACACTTTCACCCTACTTACTTCCACACTTTCACCCTACTTACTTCCACACTTTCGCCCTACTTAGATCTACTAACCTCCACTTTAAATGCATTTCAGACAATGACATTGACATTTCAATTCAGGGTGGTTACCTTAATTTCTGCAGTCTGATCATCCTGCGTCATCACTGCAGCCATTTGACGACACCACATTTTGATGACATCATCAGGATTGGGGCACAACCAATGTACACACATTGAAGACTCAAAATTACTTATGGGAGAAGACTCACTGCATAATCCAAGGTATTTACACAGAAGAGGATACTCTTCACTTTTGTCCTGAAACAAACATGATTAGAATTAGCATCTCCAACTATTTTTGATGATAAGAATACTCTTTTTGTTCTTCAATACATATTGTATTCGTCTTCAGAATAAATAAAATGGTTTTAATGTTACTAAATAGATTGAGTCATTGCAGATTTGTTTTCCCTAGATAGACATAATAAGAGTGAGAAATTGCTAACAAATGTTATATTATGTGTAGTATAGTACATGTATGTGCAAAACTTTGCTTTTTCTGATCATTCTCATGTGCTCTTTCTTTTGGATACTCAGTATATTTATTACCTTTTGGTGTTCCTTCACTTTCATTCGCTTTGAGACGAAATCTAGGAAATTTCTATTAATCAGATATTGACCAAAATGTTGACCTACCATGATGGTTGGAAGTTGGTCATCATACAGATGTTGCTGGAGTAATGCTGCCAACTGAAGGAAGGCCAGGCTGTGTTCTTGAATAGAAGATTCCACACTCTGAGGCGACCACACACTCTGGCATATCTGAAAGGAATAGTAACACTTATTTATTGTTTTGAAGTGATGGTGGAGTAGCAGCGGCACAGATACTGATCCTCAAGAAACGAAAAACATAAAAAAAAGTTACGTTTCACTGAAAATCTACACGTGTGCTATGATAAAGAAATACTCGTTATAAAATAATTCTCACCACTGGTATGTTAGCGCCATCTCCAGATGCATAGATTTTACTAGCAGCTAATAAATTTATAACCTGGCTCACAACGCCACTGGTGTTTCTGTGACTAGTCTGCAAATGAAGAAATATTTTTTGTATCTCAAATTACTTTATGAATACAATATAAGCGTGGCCTATTACATTTTATTCAAATAGGTCTGCCTTAAACAACAAAAAGGTCACATTGGAAATTTCCACTTCTTAAAATACAGTACATAGCAGCCTACTGGCTTTATCATAAACTTAAACCAAGACCACAATATGATTTCATGGGGTTGAGTGTTGACATTTCTTACTTGTTTTGATTTCCATGCATCTCTCTCATCCTCGGTAAACTGAGTGGTTACTATAGCAACTGCCTGGACATAGAGCACATTATATACAGCTTGCACTATACACTGGTAGTACGCTGGAAAGATATATACACTTTCTTGTATTTCATTTTGATTTTTTCATTTAAAGAGAAAAGAAATTCTATTTTCAAATACTTTTAAGTCAAATCACACTAAATATTTTTTCAGTTTATAATATTTCAACTTCTTTAGATCTAACAGGTTTTGTGTTGTTCACATGATGTTCACACGATTACACAACTATTCTACACAGATGACCTTTACAATACCTGTTACCCAAAAGTACATTTACAGTAATTCAACAATCTGTAAACTGTAACTGTATACCCACTTCTGGGCCACCCAGTATAATATTGAGATATAATAATAGATTCGAGGAGAAGGATAATATAATCAGAGAAGACTGCTCTATTAATAAGGAGGGAGCAATGTGAAAAATTAGATAAAAGAGTATAAGGGCAAACGCCCAAAGGGAAATAGAAATTATAACAAAGTGACGTTCACAAAATTTTGGGGGATGGGTTTGACAGTGCAGCAATAGCTGGAACCACCCTACCCCTGGCCCTAAATAGAAAATAATCGATAGAAAGTAAACTTACGTTTCTTAACTCCAGGGGGCATAGTTAGGACCAAATGTATCAGCTGACTTGTAAGATCTCTCAGAAGCAAAGGAACCTCATTCATGTAGACCTCAACTTCCATACTGAAATACATGTATGACACTTGAACAGGAGTCAGTAGGATAAGGAATTTCTACGTTCTACTTTGTAACTTTTAGACCCATTCTATTTCTATAGTTTTTATAAATCATCTTATTTAGCCCTGAGACATGTGAGAGACACAGTTGCATTGGTTTAACTGCTTTGTCTGGGTAGTCTCATACAATAAAAATCTGGATCTTTTCATGTGATGGTGCAGTTCCAAAATTTAATTGGTAATATCGGTCTGTATCGAGATAGAAAAGGTCAAAATCAAATTGGAAAAAGTCCTGTTGCCTACCTGCTATCATCTGTTGGGTGTGTATTACCAGTGATGATATTCCACATCTCAATGTAGGGTGTAGTGGAGAGCAGTTTGCTATGCATACTCAACACGTGTATTAGAGGCACTGCAAATAAACATGAAAATATACAGTGTAGTTGATATCATTTTAATATGTTTAGTTCAATTTGTACTAAACCTGGATGAATGAATGGATTTAGATTAAGCTTCTTTACATTCCTTCCATAACAATCATTTCCTAGATTCCTTGAATATGAATAAATATACATATTTTCCCCAAGGGTGAAAAAATGAGGAAGGATTGTAGGTCTATTATGCAGTTAAATTATTTTCTCATTTCACTGAATGTGATCATGATCTTCATCGATCACATAGATTCTTTTAATCACATTGTCTGTGATCTCTTAGAGCTTGTTTCTACTGGTGGTCATACCTAGGCATCTTTTCTTGTTTATTGGAGTGTCCCTGCACAATGTACCTCCCCTGTACTCTAGATCCAGCTCAAGATTTGTCCTGTAATCACAATGAACAATATGGACAATTAATTCACAAGATACTATAGCATAATAAGGAACATGAAATGGTTCTAGATTCTATTTTAAAGAGCTCAAATAGTTCAGCAATACAGAATGGTTAAGTCGAGAATTTGGTAGCATATTTGACTTCCAGATTTCAACAACGTCCTTCCCAATCCATTTTTGCTTCAGAAGCTCAAACGTTTATGTAACAAGATCTTGAATATCAACCATATAGTCGGACACTGCATGGGACAGAGGTTGAAGATCAAATGTATGTAAAGACAGTTCTCATTCCACTCTAAGACCATACTTTGAAAAGGTTTAGATAAAATGTACATTTATCATTCTACAAAGGTTTACCTTGCCATGGAACATACAAATAAGAGCATAGTTGATGAAGTGTATGTTGTGATATAGCTCTTGTATTGTGGATAGGTGGCGTTACTGAGATCATCCATGACGTTACTCATCACCTGCGTCAAAGCTCCCGAACCCTGGAAAAGCAGATGGAATTTTTGACATCTCTCTTACACTCAGGTACTCGACTTCATTATTCTTATCCCCTTAGTATCACCCTCCCTATGCTGGGCTCCAAAATCCAGATTATCTTCTGGAAGAAGGAGGTAAGGATTCTGGACACCTGCATAATAGGAACAGGGGTTTCACTAGAATTTCTCACAAAAGGCTAAATAAATTAAAACAACAGGCAAAATTAATGGAAATCATAAATTTAACATGGAAAGCTTGAAAAGTCCCTAAAAACAACAGGCGATTTTGTGAAAACAACCGGTGAAAATCGCCTGTTGCCTGCTGCTAATGAAACCCCTGAGGAAGATGCTTAGTACGAACCTATGTCTGTACAAAAAGCTTGTTCTTTTGAAAATTATGAATGAACTCGTAATTGCATTTCTATACATAAACATTCAAGAGCATCAACTAAACACCTCTTAACTTACCTTCATTGCTTTCTTATTTTCTGTTCTGAATTTCAAATCATGACTTGCTATAAAAGTTTCAAGCATATCTACTCACAGGTGTAATGGGCCTGCTCTGAATAATCTCTCCTATCTGAGCAACCTTTGTTCCCAAATCCTCCCCTGGTGTTTCTTGGTCATACATCTCATCTATATCAGGCAGGATTGGTAGTACGGTGTTAGACAACTGTCTACATACAGGGCACCAGTATTCCCCCTTGGTTACCTAAAAAATATAACTAACTCAGAGGTTCTACATTCTTATTACTGTAAAAGCCCAAATTTTCACTGACAAAGAATTTCACTGTTTGAAGGAATATTCAAATGAATTCAATGTTAGATCAAATTTTCACTGTGCCTTTAATTACATGGTCTAAGCCTTTTCAGTGAAAATAGTGAAAATTAGGGCACTTTGAAAATTTGGTATAGTAGATAACATTGTGCTCAAGAGCATATAGGTTTGAGGTAAGATCTGAATGGCAAAAACTGATATTCATGGTATTATATTGCAGATGTTCAGTTCACAGATTTTAGTAATGTGTTTAAATCAAAAACATTTGGCATATCTAAAAAAATCTTAACATATTTCAATGTCTGATTTCCAGCAAATACACAGCTAATGGATATTCAGAATTGACTCTTCTTGAATTTCAGCCATATGAGAATGTAACATGTATGATATCTAAAACCTCCCGATGAATAACCTTTACACATTATCTCACCTCAAGGTTGTATATCACATGTTGTGGTTCTGTTCTCAGTGATTGTATGTAGGATTCGTGGCAGTCAAGATGTAAATAGTGGCCACATGTCTGAGCTACTATCCCTCCCTCCCATCCTATGTTCACACTGGCTAAGGCAGATGTCTGTAATAGGACATAGAAATACCATTCTGATACTCATAGCATCTTTCTGTTTCACCTGAAACATGCTCTGATATAATAGATATTCTGTGATCTGAGCACATCAGATGGGAAGAGTTATATCTGTAAATAAGTGTGATGGTTATCATGTAATCATCTACCTTAATGTCAATACATTACATAATAGGCATTGTATTTAACAGCAGATATTACAACAGGCGTAGTTACACAAGTTTTATGACCCCAATTAGATGAAATATGAGCTGGGATGAAAGATCTCAAAAATCGTCAATTTTGGGCTCTCCCGGATCGCCAAATCAAGCCCATTATATCATGGCATCTCAGGGCTGAGAAGAAATGAGATGTCATGGTTTATCATGATGTAGAAATACACTTAAAACATTATTTACAATTACAAGTCACTCTTTCCAATTTAAAAAGGTTAAAGATAAGGACTTAAAATATTCAATTGGAGGGTCAAATAAAACTACATGTACCTGTTTAATATTTCTGCTTCTTACTATATCTAAGGCACTCTATTTTATTGTATAAATATTTTAACATTTGAACTTACCACATCAAAGTGTTTGAGCAATCTTTGCAGTCTCTCTTTGTTGATTTCTGCACAAGTTGTGGTGAGATTACAACCTCCTGCTTTGGTTGGCACTGTGTCCCTTCCCCCTGTATATTTCCTACTCCCTAGGACTACAACATAATAAACATCATAAGTGTATACTTAAGTATTGTCAAAGGGAATTAACATTATTGGTCTGTAACTAGATTACAGACCATTTGCCCTTGAATAAATATATTTCTACTTGTATATCTTTTTTAATTACAAAACTGCAATTTTATAATCAGACAAGCTTGTTTCAATTTACAGAATGAGCCTTGTTTTTTATAACCTTCTCACATCGATTTTAAGAACAATCTTTGCTCACTCTATTTCTTGCTCTATTACTGAGCTTTGTTTTTTATAACTTTCTTTCAACGATTTTAAGAGCAATCTTTGCTCTTACTCTATTTCTTGCTCTATTACTGAGCTTTGTTTTTTATAACCTTCTTTCAACGATTTTAAGAGCAATCTTTGCTCTTACTCTATTTCTTGCTCTATTACTGAGCCTTGTTTTTATAACCTTCTCGCAACGATTTTAAGAACAATCTTTGCTCTTACTCTATTTCTTGCTCTATTACTGAGCCTTGTTTTTTATAACCTTCTTTCAACGATTTTAAGAACAATCTTTGCTCTTACTCTATTTCTTGCTCTATTACTGAGCCTTGTTTTTTATAACCTTCTTTCAACGATTTTAAGAGCAATCTTTGCTCTTACTCTATTTCTTGCTCTATTACTGAGCCTTGTTTTTATAACCTTCTCGCAACGATTTTAAGAACAATCTTTGCTCTTACTCTATTTCTTGCTCTATTACTGAGCCTTGTTTTTTATAACCTTCTTTCAACGATTTTAAGAACAATCTTTGCTCTTACTCTATTTCTTGCTCTATTACTGAGCCTTGTTTTTTATAACCTTCTTTCAACGATTTTAAGAGCAATCTTTGCTCTTACTCTATTTCTTGCTCTATTACTGAGCCTTGTTTTTATAACCTTCTCGCAACGATTTTAAGAACAATCTTTGCTCTTACTCTATTTCTTGCTCTATTACTGAGCCTTGTTTTTTATAACCTTCTTTCAACGATTTTAAGAACAATCTTTGCTCTTACTCTATTTCTTGCTCTATATCAGAGTTTAGAGTCCATATCAGCAACCAAAACCAGATTTAAAAGACCTCATAATGCATTTCATTGTTGTCATTCTGCTTCCCTGCCATTTTTCAAAAATCATCAACTAGTCATGTAAGTTGACAATATTTCCTGTCAACTTTTGTCAAAAATGTCCCATAAAACATGATGTAGTATTAGAAATGATGTCCAAATATCAAGAGTTATTAAATTCTAACAAAAATTGTTACAAAAACGAAATTAATTAATTTTGCTTGATATTGATATTAAACCAACTTCCATTTAATTAATTTCCCAAAAATTAACAAAGTGCATTAGTTCTCCTCCACTGTATATTAATCCAATTTAGTTTTTCACAACTGGAGACATTAACAATCTCTTATATGCCCAACATTTACTTACCACTTGAAGACTGTAGCAGTACAACAAGGCTAATTGGTCTCTCAAGAGTTGAAGGGGTCGTTTGGCCACATATGGAACAGTCATACATTGTCTCAGCTTCCTCTACTTCTAGCTCTATAGGAGAATCAACTGTGGGAGCATCCACTGATGTACCAGCATCTAAGAATAACAGACACACATGTTGATGTACATCCCTCATAAAGGCAACAAAAAGAAATATGCGAGGTATCAACGTGCAAATTGCCATTTGTTACAAACACCAACAGTCGAACACCAACTGCTGAAATAAAGTGCCAAACACCAACCACCATCCACAAAAATTTGGAGACTTTTACGATATGTTACCACTTGTGGTGGTAATGTAATTATGATACATTTGATGAACTTTAAAATGAGAAATACCAAGAAATGCTCTTCAAGCAAAATCTTATATACATGTCAGTCTCCCCAGGATTTTTTCTAAGGTGGGTGCAAAATTCTCATTTTCACAATTAAGACCAAAATTGGTCAAAATATGCCAATTTTTCATGATTTTTCTCATTTTCAAGTGGATGTTCAGGTGGGTGCAAGCCTATTTTCAAAATCGCAGGTGGGTGCTGCGCCCACTTGCTTTAATGCCGGGGAGATCACTGCATGCAATGTTAATGTTTTACCAAATTGAAATAAATTGATCAAAAGACCCGAGACTTGCTTAGATACCTGTGTCCTCTGCAGTGCCCTCTATATCCATACTCTGCTCCATGAAAGCCTTCTGTATGCTCGCAAACTGGGCCATCAATTTCTGCTGTACCTCCTTCGCCCTTTTCCTTCTTTCCTCTTTACTCAACCCAACCTTTTTGCCTTTATGTTTTTCAGCAGCAGCAGGTTCAGGAGTCAACTGGTGACACAGATCCTTAATTATCCTAGCATTCTCGGTGTCAGCATCTCCAATGGTGTCCAACACTCTAGCAATAACTATAGGTCCATCTCCAAACTTGGCACATGGTTTATCCGGTCTGTACTGATATGACCCGGGGTTACCAGATAGTTTACTATGAAGTTTGATTAATAGTGATATGATTGTTTCATTGACTGCAATAATTGTAGGCTGAATTTCTGTATCGTCTGTGGACACGCCTTTATGTTCTACTTGTGGAGGAGAGTCATCTCCTGTCTCACTAGTGCTAGGTGCATCAGTGGTACTTGTAAATAAGTTAGGGATTGCTGCAAAATAATAACTTTTAAGATTAAATGCTGCAAAATGAAAAGTTAGAGATTGCTATAAATGACAACACAAGTTCAAGATTGCTACAAATAAAAAGTTATAGATTGTTCAAATGTTTAATCTCTAACTATTAACCAATTTGACTATTTCTCATTTTTGTGAAACTACTTTTGAAGCAATTCATGGAGTTCTGAATGTTTTGAAGTTAAAATTAAATTTTGGACATCACTGCTGAAGGCTGTTCCAATATTCTCTTACTGCCTACAAAACCATATGAGTTTTACTCAACATTACACTCCTTTCCTTGTTTCTTTAACATACCTGTAATTGTACTAGGTGCCAACTGGAACATGTCAGCTAGCACCTCCACTGTCTCCATGTCATGTGCCAGCACACCATGGGGTCTTGCTTGTCTTTCTTTCACATCACCAAAGGGGTTGGCTGTCTCAGTTACCTTGATGGAGGATATAGTGTGACGGAGATTGTGTGTGATGTCCCCGGAAGGATACCAAGTACTAAACTGCATGTCTTCAACCTCACTTTGCTCACTGGGAGAGGAGTCGGCCTGAAATAGGAAATATGCATGGGATTAAAATACGCTTCAGTCACAGTACCTCAGAAGAAGTAAAGACCTTTGTTGTGTCATTGATCAAGAAGCAGCCCAGTACCTCAGAGGGTGAAGAAAGGCCTGTGATAACTGAATACTCAATCTCAGCCTAGAATCAAGGGGAAATTCTGCAATTTTATTAGCAGCTGGCAACAAATGATTTTCTCTGTTTTCATTATTTTGAGGGATTCTACAATTGTTTCCATTCTTAATTATAATTTCCAATAATTTTGCCTATAGTTCTCATTCATTTTATCTGTTATTCATTAAAGTATATCATTTCACAATAAATACCGTTTCACACAGTGACACACCACTTACTGCAAATCAATAATTACTTCCCTAAAATCTGAATGCAGAGATGATAGGACATATGCATAATTTTTACATATAACCTTCAATATTCATTATACTCCTACATCATCTTCATACATGTACGACATTTCATGATTGTTGCATATATGTTTTACATTGTATCTGAATCATTAAAACACCATGAAACAATCCAATCTTTGACATATGAAATAAGACAAGTGGCTCATCCATGTGAATATTTTTACCTGTAAACAAGATGATAAGATCAGTAATCAGTAAAAAGAAGTGAAAGGGCAGGAATTTAACCTAAAAGTGGATTATGAAGACATGAGACAAAGCCATATGATTAAACAAGGTGATACTTTCAAAGACATTTCTTGAAAATGAGATCGAGAGGTTGAATTAAACCTGTGACATCTTTGACTGAAGCTGAATTCAGATTAAGATGAAAACATCGCTGTTGTAGTATGTAGTAATAATAAAATGTATGTATTGATTAATCTGTATACAGGGGTGCCTCTTGTAACTTTTTAATTTTTGAGTTTCTCCCAATTGATTTATATAAATGACATGAGAACATCACTTTTTACTTTGTTCCTAATTACATCCTTGTAGTCAAATTATAAAATGTTAAGATACGACAATTGCAATAATAATATGCAAAAAATTATCTATAATTAAGGGTTGGATTTTGGCCTATTCTGTAAATATTCAGACATGCCAATTGCCTTAACAAATGACTGCCTTTATAAAAGACAGCTATCAATAATCTGATAGTTAAAGTGACATAAGTAGAAAGTCAATAGTGAGATTTCATCATTATCATTCAAACAAAGAATAAAATGGAATTACATGCTTATGTTACATGAGAGTGTCCATAAAAATACTGCATTTAGTTTAAAAGATGGATCATGAGAAAATGTTCATTACTTAGAAAAAAATCTATAAATTACGAACACAGTTTTGTAGAATAATATTTGGGCAAATTTTAAATGAGAATTTAAGATGAATGGGAAAGACATCATCATTTTGACACTAAAGTATCTGCTACTCCAATCACTGCAGGTATCTTGTAAGTACAATACACTTAAACATAATACATTAGTTTTTATTTCATATCAATGAATTTCTATTTTTAAGGCTGACGTTGGCCCCCTCCTCTAATTACATTTTTATTAGATTAAAATGTTTGGTATTGAAAATGCAATATTTAAGTAATTTATTCTAGTTTCTTTTTCTCCATTTTTAGCAACTACTTGGAGCAAAGTTCAATCTGGTGTTCGAATCATACAGCACAATGATGAAGTACACACAAACATAACATCTTTACAAAGATGCAAAGAATTGTGTGAAACAACTGATACTCTCTGCTGTAGATCTATTGAATGGAATAAGAACATTGTTCGGTGTAATTTGTCAAAGCAAAATTCTAAAACTGCTAATGTCACTGAAGCGCCAGGAGGGTACTTGAAGTTTTATGCTGAGATTCTTGACTTTTCACTTGATGGTAAGCTTAATAGAAATAGAAATAAACTGAATTACGATAAAGATAGATTTAGTAAGGACTTTTTCACCAATGGAAAAATAACAAAGAAACATTGAATTTCCACTTTCCAGTTTTCTTTTATCAAAAATGTATTTTACATGAATAGACATACAAGAGTCTCCAATATAAAAAGCACAAATATAAGTTTAGGTGATAATCCAGGGCTTATCTATACTTCAAGGCATTGTTCAATGAGAATTGTATATTATTAGCAGTTGACCCAGACACATTACATTTTACTGAAATTATATTTGATCGGTATAAGCCTGCACTAGCTACTTTTTTTTAAAATAAAATTCTATGTACTGTATTAGTATATTTGTTAATTCACAGGAACACCAATTCAGTGTCAAAACGAGGAAACCGTAACAGCCACATCTGTAAGTGAATCTACAGTCCAAACAACCCAAAGTGAAAATACAGTCCAAACAACCCAAAGTGAATCTACAATCCAAACAACTCAAAGTGAAAATACAGTCCAAACAACTCCAAGTGAAAGTAAAGTCCAAACAACTCCAAGTGAATCTACATTCCAAAAAACTCCAAGTGAAAGTACAGTCCAAACAACTCCAAATGAAAGTACAGTCCAAACAACTCAAAGTGAATCTACAGTCCAAACAACCCTAAGTGAAAGTACAACCCAAACAACTGAAAGTCAAACTACAGCCCAAACAACTGAAAGCCAAACTACAGCCCAAACAACTGAAAGTCAAACTACAGCCCAAACAACTGAAAGTCAAACTACAGCCCAAACAACTGAATGTCAAACTACAGCCCAAACTACTAAAAGTCAAACTACAGCCCAAACAACTCTACGTCAAGCTACAGTTCAAACAACTGAAAATACAGCCCAGTCAACTGAAAATCAAAGTACAGCCCAAACAACTGATATTCAAACTATAGCCCAATCAACTAAAAGTCAAACTAATGCTCAAACAACTGAGAGTCGAGTAACAACCCAAACAACAGCCCAAACAACTGCAATTCAAGCAACAGCCCAAACAACTGCAATTCAAGCAACAGCCAAAACAACTAAAATTGAAACAAGAACCCTCAAAACTTCAACTGAGGAACAGAATGTTTACAAAAGAGCCAAACGTGTACAATTTACTCCAACTGAAGCTAAATATGCTGCAGCCGTAGGTATTCCACCTGTTGTATTAGCAGTAATGTTAATGGGTATAGTGTTTATCACGGATTTTAGGAAAATCTATATTGATGTTAGAAATGGCTTTGGGAACATAAAAAGAGCCCATTAATTTGTGTGCCCAGCAAGAATAGTAGAACTTTCTGATAACCTGCACAATAAAACTATTTACTACAAACAAGGCTACATGAAGGGTAGAACAGGAAAGAAATATTATCTCTATCTGACATTTTTGAGACTTCGATTAAGCAATGACTAAATAGCAAGAACGCAAATTAATAGACAAGATGCAAGTAGAGATAATCTTGATGTATGTCATCAAATATTCAATACATGTATTCAAAATTCAATGTGATATCATATTTGAAATCTGCATGTACAATTAGGGAATGCATGTACAATTTCTAGATGTAATTTTAAATTATATCTAGAAATGTGGTTTCAAAAATTGTCAACTTTATAAATTTTTTCTTTGAAAAGGTGACTTCTAGGTTAAGTGATTCCCACATTCCCCATGTTTTAAAATTACAAAAAGTGAAATATTTGTATCTTTTCCTGTATTCATTTACTGGACATATTTTAATTTGTATAACTATCAGATACAAAAGGTACTATGAAAATTGATCCATTAAAACTGAAGTATATATATATATATATATGCATTATTATCTGACTCTAATTAGCCACCTGGTGGTGGAACTGCTGGAACTACCTACTGGCATCTGGGTTATTACACCTGTGTGGGATGATTTCAGAAACTAATCTGCAGTATGACATGATGTACATGGATGGGTCAATTAGACTAATCATGGGTTGAAGGTCTCATCTATTATACTTTCCAAAACACATTATTTCACTAATGACCGATATAACTGTGCCACAGCTAGTTAATTAGACGGAACATGATGAAACAAAATGGATGAACTTCCTGGATACGATGTCATTTGTTTTCTTGATTTAGACCTACTTATTAAGTCAAGTTGCAGATTATGATTTAACTGGCACAAAGTTAGACTACATAGTGTGGCTTTGAAAAATGCCTTCGATTAAATGATACATGATACAATTCATCCCATGCTTTTGTTACATTGATGGAAGTCGCCGTCAAAGTGACATTGGTTATATAGTGGATTTTCATCAATGTAACAATTCAATGTCACCTTTATGCAGTATTACATTGATGGAAGTCCCCGTCAAAGTGACATTGGTTATACAGTGGATTTTCATCAATGTAACAATACAATGTCACCTTTATGTAGTATTACATTGATGGAAGTCCCCGTCAAAATCACATTGGTTATACAGTGGATTTTTGTCAATGTAACAATACAATGTCACCTTTATGCAGTATTACATTGATAAAAGTCCCCATCAAAGTGACATTGGTTAAATAATAGTGGATTTTCATCAATGTAACAATACAATGTCACCTTTATGTAGTATTACATTGATAGAAGTCCCCGTCAAAGTGACATTGGTTATACAGTGGATTTTCATCAATGTAACAATACAATGTCACCTTTATGCAGTATTACATTGATAGAAGTCCCCGTCAAAGTGACATTGGTTATATAGTGGATTTTCATCAATGTAACAATACAATGTCACATTTATGTAGTATTACATTGATGGAAGTCCCCATCAAAGTGACATTGGTTATATAGTGGATTTTCATCAATGTAACAATACAATGTCACATTTATGCAGTATTACATTGGTGGAAGTCCCCGTCAAAGTGACATTGGTTATATAATAGTGGATTTTCATCAATGTAACAATACAATGTCACCTTTATGTAGTATTACATTGATGAAAGTCCATCAAAGTGACATTGGTTATATAATAGTGGATTTTCATCAATGTAACAATACAATGTCATCTTTATGCAGTATTACATTGATGGAAGTCCCCGTCAAAGTGACATTGGTTATATAGTGGATTTTCATCAATGTAACAATACAATGTCACCTTTATGCAGTATTACATTGATGGAAGTCCGTCAAAGTGACATTGGTTATATAATAGTGGATTTTCATCAATGTAACAATACAATGTCACCTTTATGTAGTATTACATTGATGAAAGTCCATCAAAGTGACATTGGTTATATAATAGTGGATTTTCATCAATGTAACAATACAATGTCACCTTTATGCAGTATTACATTGATGGAAGTCCGTCAAAGTGACATTGGTTATATAATAGTGGATTTTCATCAATGTAACAATACAATGTCACCTTTATGTAGTATTACATTGATGGAAGTCCATCAAAGTGACATTGGTTATACAGTGGATTTTCATCAATGTAACAATACAATGTCACCTTTATGAATAGTATTACATTGATAGAAGTCCATCAAAGTGACATTGGTTATATAGTGGATTTTCATCAATGTAACAATACAATGTCACCTTTATGTAGTATTACATTGATGGAAGTCCATCAAAGTGACATTGGTTATATAGTGGATTTTCATCAATGTAACAATACAATGTCACCTTTATGTAGTATTACATTGATAGAAGTCCATCAAAGTGACATTGGTTATATAATAGTGGATTGTCATCAATGTAACAATACAATGTCACCTTTATGCAGGGTGATATTTTGAGTTGTCAATGGCAGGTATATGTCTGAAATTCCAGAGTGAAGAAAAAACATTGATTAAAATATGACTAGTTAATTGCTAATTGCTCTAATGCAGTGACATTGACTGGTATGGACAAGTCAATATCATCTAACTAGTAATCATGCCACAAATCAACAAGTCACCATTAGCTCATAAACTGATGTCTATTATTATGTAAAATCTGTATTTACTGAGGAAGTGAAATAATTCATCTGTCTATATCAATAATAGAAAGCTTAAAAGTTTATATTGATGTTCGAGGCTTTAAATTAATCGCTGGTGTTTTAGCAATGAATAAAGTATTAACATTAATTTTGCTTTCACATTTCTGATATTGACTAATCTTAGTAGAATAGTGCAATACGGGGTTTTACATAAGGTTGTTGCAAAGTAGCAGTGTGCTTACTTGAAATAAAGGTAACATACTAGGAATATTTAGACTATATAACCGAAGAAGGATTTAGACAATACAAATCTCCATTCAAAATCATTTATTTTGTTTTATCACACATGGAGAGATTTTAATCTTGATACTTTCATATAATGAGTGCCTGTTAAAAATCACATCAGAAATGATATTTCTAATTTTTAAGCACCTGGGCATTGAATTCAATGAATATGGTAATGTCTGCTTATAACTGGTGGTATTTCAAGCAGTGAACAAACCTTTTCACACACTGTACTCCTGTAAAAGGTTTCTCATTGCTAAAAGTATGGGAATCTCTAATTGGCTTTTATCTTTAATATCATCAATAATCAGATACTTTTAAGTGAGAGATTAAGTACATGATGAATCATGAAAATGAGTGGTGGTTTTAAAGTCAATAAAGAATGAAAATGGATACCAATGTAATGACTAGGATATACGTAATGCATGTTTCCATTGTGCTGTGACTACAATTACAAAAAAAAAATGGGATGCATCATAGGAAATAATAATTTACTGGATTATAACATCTGTCGAATTAAAAAAGAAATCGTTTTCAACAAATATATCTCATTAGTTATAGTGAAGAATATTTACTATGAATAGGAAAAACATGTTAAAATGGATGTGTATAATAACTGAGTTGGCGCATGTATCTTGTAAGTATAAATATTATATAGTGGATTTATCGTATTTTGGATGTTTCGTAGGGTTTTGATATCCACACTTCAAAAAATATGAAGAGTTTGAAACACTATACAAAACTAAATTAACTAATACAAGGCATTAACATGTCAAACACCAAACCACCAACCACCGAACACGACACACAGAAAGTTGGAAACTATAAGGACAATGGACAGACAGACAAATTAGGTTATTCGAGAGGCTCATCATGGACTTTTCAAGCTCATGGACGGACAGACTGATGGACAGACTGACATCATTGGACAGACAGACAAATTAGGTTATTCTAGAGGGTCACCGAGTGACTTTTCAAGCTCAGGGAAAACTATATAAGTCAGCTGTTAATCTTAGATTAATTTCTTATAGTTATATATTTGTTCCCCTTTCAGCAATTATTTGGAATGGAACTCTTGTTGGTTGGAAAATCGGTAGTCGCAACGACATAACGCACTTGAATATTACATCTTTTGAAAAATGCAAAGAACTATGTGAAACAAATGACACTATCTGCTGCCGATCCATAGAATGGGCTTCAAACAAGCAAAAATGCCATCTGTCAAAAGCAAACTCCAGATCGGCTGATATCAGAGCAGCTAGAGTCACCAAGTTGTTTGCCGAGATTTTGGAGTTTTCTGAAAATGGTAAGCAGGTGGTACCATACATGGCATGGTTTAACGGTATATCATATGATATTCATCCTTAAACTTCGGTATTGTTTTTTTGGCCCACCCTGTATATGTCATTTCCATAATAAAATTTCAATAAAATAAAATACAATTGTAAAATATGGAGATATAGCAAACACTGTTGAATATATCATGACCTTATCATAAGTTTTATTATACTGTACATGTCATGCGACTTAATTATGTAAAGAGAAATATTAAGATACAGTGTATGTACATGTATATGGAAATTTTTAAGAATGTTTTTTAATACTTCTTATCTCATGTTATGAAAATTAGAAAATTTATTACTTCATAGAGGCATGCATTAACTGATTCGAAATCTTTATTAATTAAGGGAGCATCTCAAAAGTTCAATGTTGGATTATTAACTGTATTCGAACATTTAATCTGTGGCCCTTCCCTCCCCCTCATAACTGTGTTTGATAAATGTTGATATGCGTTATTTCATTGGTCTCACTATATAATATAGTATGTAATGCAGTCAATTTTTGCAATTTTTCAATCAGTCGGAAAGCTAACTTTTAAGGTTAATGACCCCCCCCCGCCTAACTGTTCAATTACAGTTAATTTTCTGACATTGATCTTTTGAAATGCTCCTTCAAGGCGAGAGGTATATACAATTAAATATCTATAATGTATGAAATTTGTTTGACAGGTTCAGAACCAATACAGTGTCAAATGATGGAAAATGTGACAGTCTCAACAACTTCCAGTCAAACTACAGTTCCAATAAATGAGAGTCAAACAACTACAGTTCCAATAATTGAGAGTCAAACTACAGTTCCAATAAATGAGAGTCAAACTACGGTTCCAATAAATGAAAGTCAAACTACAGTTCCAATAAATGAGAGTCAAACTACAGTTCCAATAAATGAAAGTCAAACTACAGTTCCAATAAATGAGAGTCAAACATCAGTTTCAATAAATGAGAGTCAAACTACAGTTCCAATAATTGAAAGTCAAACTACAGTTCCAATAAATGAGAGTCAAACTACAGTTCCAAAAAATGAAAGTCAAACTACAGTTCCAATAATTGAAAGTCAAACTACAGTTCCAATAAATGAGAGTCAAACTACAGTTTCAATAAATGAGAGTCAAACTACATTTCCCATAAATGAGAGTCAAACTACAGTTCCAAAAAATGAGAGTCAAACTACAGTTCCAATAAATGAGAGTCAAACAACAGTTCCAAAAAATGAGAGTCAAACTACAGTTCCAATACCTGGGAGTCAAACTACAGTTTCAATAAATGAAAGTCAAACTACAGTTCCAATAAATGAAAGTCAAACTACAGTTCCAATAAATGAGAGTCAAACTACAGTTCTACTAAATGAGAGTCAAACTACAGTTCCAATATCTTGGAGTCAAACTACAGTTTCAATAACTGAAAATCCAACAGCACCACAAACAAGCTATACAAGTCAAACAACTCAGGCTACATATGCTTCTTCGACATTATTGAGTCAAACAACAATACGGGAAATAAACAACACAAACCAACAAAGCACTGGTCTTACAAACAATTGGGAAGGCTCAACACTAATCATGAGCACATCTCAAAATGATGTTACTGCTGAACAGAATGTTTATAAGCGAGCCAAACGTGTACAATACGAGCCAACTGAGGCTAAATATGCCATAGTTATAGCTATCCCACCAGTGGTTTTTGTCATCATCATACTAAGTACAGTATTTATCATGGATCTGGGCAAAATTCACACCGATACTAGAAGGTATCTCAGGAATATTAAGAGAAGATGATGATGTCTGCAAGTGAAGTTAATGAATTCTACAAAATAAAGGAAAAGTAAATTCTGAATGAATTCAGCTGGATTTCTTGAAATAAAATGATACAATATGAAACTGTTTTCTTGAAATAATGGGATTTTTCCTGGATGTGCTGCCATTTAAAAAGAAAACATCACAAAATCTGAGATGAACAAAAAATACAACAGATGTATTGTCTGCACCCAACTAAAAGATTAAACTTTTTGAAAAAATCGAGAATTATAATTACTAGGATATTTGACCAGCTGCAGACACTTCTTTCAGTCAGAATTAGTAAAACTAAAGTTTTGAAACATGTTGAAATGAATAACTGTTTATGAAGAGAGCTGCTGCAATGCTTGACTAAATATATTATCAAATAAAGCAAAATTAATCAGTTTAATTGCAACCTTGACTATAATACATTTTGAAATACTGGCCGATTTTAAGATGAAGTGTATACCTCTACAATTTGAGACAGTTGTTTCTTTCCTGGTTTCGGGAGAACATTGATGCTTGTGTTAAAAACCGATTAAAATAAGAAATATGTGCGTGGCGAAGTGCTTTTTACTTTTGAAATCTAACGTGAACTTCTAATGAGCGTTCCCAAGACCAGAATGCGATTGGAACTAGATAACTGGCACCAGGTTAAAATAAAAGAGTACAAATATGGAAGAAAATGTGAGTCTTATTAAGCTTACCTGTGCTGTAGATTGTGTGGGGTTGGGGATTGAGAGTGCCAGCTCTAACAGATACACGCAGATAGAGAGGATTGGCTCGGGAACTTTTGGATCATTTAGAGCCTGCAATGTTGAGTTTATATGCATATTTTAAAGAAATTAATTTTGAGCAAGTGAATTTTTAAAGAGTTTCAAGTGAATCATTTTTATATTTCTGGAAAGTTCAATTCAACATTCTAAAAATTAATTTCCAGTTAGGAGGCTTAACATTTACACAAATAATCAGTGATTGTGTACTTGTACTGCAAATACAATTGCATGGAGGGTGGAATATTGAAACACTTACTTTATGTAGTACTGCAAAAACAACTGCATGGAGGGTGGAGCAATGAAGAAGTTGACGTATTGTAACATATGTGGGAAGCACATCACCAGGAACCTTGAAAGGTGGCCATAAACTTGTAGATGACTCCCATTCGCCACTATGTCGTAGCCTAAATAACATTTTATTCATATATAAGCATTATGCTAATTCCAGGGAAGTTGAATATTGAATATAAGGAATGCCTCATTCTGGGAAAATCTAATTTGTAAACTGTACTACTACTTAATTTGGCGCCTTTATTATTATACTACATGAATAACAATGAGAAAAAATTAGGCCTAGGAAAAATGGATAAAATAGTATTATACCAGGTATAAGTCACTTGTAATAAAGAAAACTATACATAACTGAAAGTTTGCAAGTGGAAAAATCTAATTGTAATGTTCGAATATGAAAAATATGTTAGAAACTATTTTGAAATATTGATTTGTATCTATAAATGTTAATGAATGAAATTAACTATTATTTAAAAAATCTATAAACTACATGTACAAATCAGATTAAAAAGTAAATAAATATGCAAGAAGTACTTACAGTGTTGTGTATCTATCCAATGCACCCTGAGCATCTCTTCTTACACATCTCATTGAAACGTACATTGGATCATAGTCCTTATCCCAAATATAACCTATAATAAGTAAAACATAATAATTGTTTTTTTTCATCATGACAACTCTCAATGGTCACACTCTCAATAACAAAACTTAAGAAGGCATTTACATGAAAATATCACCGCCTGCCATTTGTTACAGATGCCAAATCCTGACAGCCGATCACCAAACGCTGAACATTGACCATCAAATATCATCCACAAAAAGTTGAAGAGTATAACAATATGTCATCACTTCTTGGTGACATATTGAGAGGCTAGAGAAGAAAGTCAGTCAAATGAAATAAGAATTAATCAACTTACGTTTAGGAACATACATTCCCTGCTGCATGGCACCCCCTGGTTCAAACTTGGGGGCCTCATAATCTGAGACCTGTAATAAGATAATTAATACTTAAGGTGCATTCAAAGGCAGGGATTCCAGATCATATAGCACTCTCTATCACTGTCCATAACATTGAATGGTTATTTTTGTCTATTTATGTGATGTTACAGTGTGTTCATCATTTCATGAATCTTCTATGTTCATGAATTGTCACACAAAAATGCTGACCTGAGATATGCCCACTTAACAACAGATTCAACATTTGCATCTAAAACTATGTGTATCACAATTTTACATTTCAATTTTTAATGATGAATTGATGTGGACATTTCCTTTTTCATTCCTTTACAACAAATTCCAGCAAGAAGGCGCTTAACATATTTCAACCAACTCAAAATTTTGAAATACATCTAACATTTTGAGATAAAATCCTGGAGAGAACACCATGTGCTGTGGAAATAATAAAGAGACAACAACATACCTGATTTAAAATAGGTTCAAACTCTTTGTTCTGGCCTGTGTAACCACATTTCTCTGGTATCATGTCCATCAGCTGACTATGGGTCCGATTGTTTACACATAACAGTGATGTCATTTCCTGTCGTGTGATCTCTTCATCGCTCATACCTACAACGTACATGCAAACATTTTTAGTAACTTTTCAATAATTTAACAAGACTCGATTCATGTGGTGCCCACTCAAACGCGCCCCCCCCCTCCCCCCTCCTCACACCCATCAACCCAAGGTGACAATACAGCAATTTCGTATAATTAAAAATTATTGTACAACCTGTGTGCATAACAAAGCATTTAGTAATATATTCATGAATTAATTTTTTTTTATTGAATTGCTCATTATACGATTATTACTGCATCCAAGAGTTGATTGTCACCTGATTTATCTTTAGTTTATATCCTTCCAGCATGGACATCAGCTGGTTTATAATAGAATTGTACATAGTATATGTATAGAATTGTACATATACAATATATAGAATTGTACAAGTTATAAGTCAAGATCTCACCTAGATTTGTACGTATTGTTATTATTGTAGCTAGGAAGTGTAAGGCTCCTTCCAACATGGACATCAGCTGGTCAGGTGAGAGGAATGCTTTCGGTGGAATGGGGGAAAAACTCAGACTTTCTGTGACATGAAACCTGTTGAAAAGCAAAAATATAACAAGGCATTAACACGCAAAATGTCATCTCCTCCATCTTTAGAGAGTATAAGCTTGAAATCATTTGAATAACTACTTACAATATTGCATAATGCTCAAACAAAAGCCTTGGTGCAGTTACTGCTTTCAGAGTCATCCAACTAGTATTTTCCAAAAACAGTAAAAAAATGTCACGCACTTAAGGTCTTATATTTTGCCAGAATTGCATGTCTTTGAATGAAAAAGCCACATTATAAAATGTCACATGTACTAAGTTCATTTTCAAAGTAATTGTATCAATTTAAGTCAAATACCTTTCTAACAACGTTGTGATGAAATAATCCGGGTCCAACTTTGCAGCACACACTTGCAGCAAGTATAGATCTGCGTCTATCATAGAATTACAGAAATGACATTGGAGATACGTCATGGCTTGGCCTTTCATCTGAAGTCCATTTCGCACCCATAAACCAGCAAATATTCCATACACTGCCACCTGCAAGTAGAGCTGATTCAGAACGTGTTTGAAACTAGATAACAGCAATGGCAAGACGTGGCATATTCCATCGAATAGCCTTCATTCGATGGGATAATAAATAACAATGCTTAAAACTAATCCAAAATTAATTGAAGGTGAACAGAAAATTTTGATATTTCACATTCTGAGAAGAACGTTAAATGCACTTTGGGCCATAAATGTCATTTTAAGTACACTCAACAGTTCATATACTTGTATATTAGATATACAGCTGTTATATACTGGTGCTTATCTTTTACTACAGTACTGAGCCCTTTTGTGTGCTGGATTTTATAGGGTATCACAGGGGCCTCATTCTCCTGTACAAATGACTACATACCTGAGTGTCTAGTGGGTGTTTCATCATAATTTAAATGCCCAGCTCCCTTTGTATTATGGGTACATACCTCTCCTGTATAAATGACTACATACCTGAGTGTCTAGTGGGTGTTTCATCATAATTTAAATGCCCAGCTCCCCTTGTATTATGGGTACATACCTCTCCTGTATAAATGACTACATACCTGAGTGTCTAGTGGGTGTTTCATCATAATTTAAATGCCCAGCTCCCTTTGTATTATGGGTACATACCTCTCCTGTATAAATGACTACATACCTGAGTGTCTAGTGGGTGTTTCATCATAATTTAAATGCCCAGCTCCCCTTGTATTATGGGTACATACCTCTCCTGTATAAATGACTACATACCTGAGTGTCTAGTGGGTGTTTCATCATAATTTAAATGCCCAGCTCCCCTTGTATTATGGGTACATACCTCTCCTGTATAAATGACTACATACCTGAGTGTCTAGTGGGTGTTTCATCATAATTTAAATGCCCAGCTCCCTTTGTATTATGGGTACATACCTCTCCTGTATAAATGACTACATACCTGAGTGTCTAGTGGGTGTTTCATCATAATTTAAATGCCCAGCTCCCCTTGTATTATGGGTACATACCTCTCCTGTATAAATGACTACATACCTGAGTGTCTAGTGGGTGTTTCATCATAATTTAAATGCCCAGCTCCCTTTGTATTATGGGTACATACCTCTCCTGTATAAATGACTACATACCTGAGTGTCTAGTGGGTGTTTCATCATAATTTAAATGCCCAGCTCCCCTTGTATTATGGGTACATACCTCTCCTGTATAAATGACTACATACCTGAGTGTCTAGTGGGTGTTTCATCATAATTTAAATGCCCAGCTCCCCTTGTATTATGGGTACATACCTCTCCTGTATAAATGACTACATACCTGAGTGTCTAGTGGGTCTTTCATCATAATTTAAATGCCCAGCTCCCCTTGTATTATGGGTACATACCTCTCCTGTATAAATGACTACATACCTGAGTGTCTAGTGGGTGTTTCATCATAATTTAAATACACATACACAGCTCCCCTTGTATTATGGGTACATACCTCTCCTGTATAAATGACTACATACCTGAGTGTCTAGTGGGTGTTTCATCATAATTTAAATGCCCAGCTCCCCTTGTATTATGGGTACATACCTCTCCTGTATAAATGACTACATACCTGAGTGTCTAGTGGGTGTTTCATCATAATTTAAATACACAGCTCCCCTTGTATTATGGGTACATACCTCTCCTGTATAAATGACTACATACCTGAGTGTCTAGTGGGTGTTTCATCATAATTTAAATACACAGCTCCCCTTGTATTATGGGTACATACCTCTCCTGTATAAATGACTACATACCTGAGTGTCCAGTGGGTGTTTCATCATAATTTAAATACACATACACAGCTCCCCTTGTATTATGGGTACATACCTCTCTTGTATAAATGGCTACATACCTGAGTGTCCAGTGGGTGTTTCATCATAATTTAAATACACATACACAGCTCCCCTTGTATTATGGGTACATACCTCTCCTGTATAAATGACTACATACCTGAGTGTCCAGAGGGTGTTTCATCATAATTTAAATACACATACACAGCTCCCCTTGTATTATGGGTACATACCTCTCTTGTATAAATGACTACATACCTGAGTGTCCAGTGGGTGTTTCATCATTATCTTCAGGTGGTCACCAAGAGGTAGCAGGTCATCTAAGTCTAGGCCTAAGTTTCTGACTGCATGTACCAAAAACACTGACAGATACCTATGTAGGGGCAGGTGAAATGACATCTTGTTTGGGTTCAACTGAAAAGAAATATGCGGATAGGGTATTAAAAACATGGAAATGTACCTTCATAGCACTGGTGCTCTACTCGATTAAGCTGATTACCGAAATGCTAAGTTTTGTAGGTAACCAGCGCAATCAAGTGGAGTACCAGTGCATAGTAAGTAACAACTTTGTGACAATAAATAATGAAATTACAGAAGCAAGGACTATTTTTGTCACTATTTTTCACTTCAAAGTTGATCATGATGATAAGATATGATTTGTCAAATCATTGGCTCAGAACCTAATTGGTGTTGTATGCCATAGCACTGGATTCATGAACAGTAAGCTATTTCCACAGGACATCCCCAATTAAAAGAGCCAGCCAATTGTATAGGAAATGGTTACCTTTGAATCAGGTTTCACTCCTATAGAATCAGCCCAATGTACAAGAGCGTGGATGGCAGTGCTCAACACCTTCCTCACCCATGGTACACTATCCTGAAATAAAAAAAGTTCAAGATCAGAAAAACTGGGGACAATATAGAATTAAATACAATACACAAGACGCTAACATGCAAAATGTCAAACCTGCCATTTGTTACAGATGCCATTTGTCATAAACATTGACTGCCAGACACTGAACACAAACCACCATCGACAAAAAAGTTAAGAGACTATAACAATATCAAAATAAAACTAGTATCGATTCCAATCTTATTGTAATTTTGAAGTTTTCCATGTTTCAGAGAAAACATTTTGCCTTCTTATATTACCTGAAACACCAAATGCCTTGAAAAAATATTTTAATATGTTTTATGACCAAATATTTAATTTAGCTCATGATGTAATCATATCAAATCCAGTCAAAGTTTCACAATCATCTACATATTATTGCATGAGAAATTCACAAACACCAAACTACCTGTTGTTTGCAATGAACGAGCATATGCCACATGGGGGATGAGCAGATCTCTAGTTCAGCAGAGAATGAAGAATAGTATACGTCTGGCTCATATTGGACATGTTGATTCAGCTCTCTCTGGTTCATATTCATGGCTGAAACAGAAGCAGTTAACATACTATAACAGTCGAAGTTGAGGAAATTTAATGTTAATGTTATTGCCTTAATATCATAATTCGGACCAAATGTCAGATGCACATAGAATTTTTTTTATTTTTGTAAATCATTATTTATAGTGTAATGAAATATTGGACAAGACATTAATTGCAAAATATCACAACCTGCCATTTGTTACAGACATTGATCGCCGACCGACAACAACAATCACAATAAGTTCTAAAGACTATTTTATATGTCACCACTTCTAATGTCACCATTTGTGGTGGTTAATTACCTTGAAAGAAAGTGAGGATTTTGAACCAGAGTTCCACTAAGCGTGTATTTGTCATAAACTTGATGGCAATTGCCTTATGGGACAGAATATTGATGAGATCACTAACAATCGGCCAATAGCAGTGATCCTTCATGACATCCTTCTCACAGTCAACTACTTTGTAGCCTCGCTGACCCGTATCTGAAATACAGTGACACAGTAAGTCAATTTTATACAGTATACTGTACCAAAATTATCTTGTTTTTATCATCAAACTTAAAGCTATACAGCTGATATCTCAATTTCATCTAGAAAAATAGGTACGAAATTACAATCCATCGACAAATAATGCTCTGTATTGAAAACAAAAAAAGGTTATCAATCCAGTAAAATCTTGATAGTTGGATTGAATTGATTCTATCCACATAACTGACCAGGATTACAATGTTTATGTCGGGTCCGGTAGTGTGTATTCTTTGAATAATTTTACATAAATTTCAATAGGAGTTACTTTAATCATGTAACTTATAAGATATATTGCTTACCAAGCACTGTTCCTTGTACAAGTACATTGCCTAAGAGGTGATGCAGGCTGACTAACATAATCTCAAGAAGCTGGTGCTCTTCAACCATATTCCAGGCCAGATGCTCAGGGCTTAAACAAGAAGACACAAGCAACTGTTAAAAAAGGCATTTAATATGACAAAATTTCACGTCCTGGTATTGTTATTGAAGATGGTTACAAAAGTGTGACAATTTGTTAGACATCGACACAAATCACCGAGGCCAAATGCAGGTCAACTTCACTGTCTCATAATATATTATATTTATTAAGAATGTTCATCATTTTTTTAAAAAGCTGCCTCATTTACAATTCTGGTTAATAGGACTTCTTGATATTGTTCTAATTGCACTTTCAAAAAGACATTAACATAAGATAACTTGTGATGCAAGTCATGATAAATGGTGGCTATAACAACATGACACCATCTATTATACATACCTAAGTAACTGTACACTGACATGCACTACACGGTTAGATATAGTCTGCCTGTCTACCGAGTTAACCAGAGATATTGACGCCCTGCTGTAGTGGTACACAAACGCCATTGTGAAGGCTGACTGAAATACAATTAGGGTGCGTTAAAAATTTTCAAAGCGCCTGTATACTCATATTTGCATACAATTAACAATACATGTACTCAAATACTCAATGTTTTAAAAATTTTGTGTCGCCAAAAAATTTGGGTAATGCTATGAACTTACAATTGCATAATGTAGTAACAATGAAGTTCCAGTACAGAGAATTTACTCTCAAATCTGCTTCATAGCAATTGTGCTGTACTTGATATAGTTTTTCAAGGTTTAGATTCAAAAAAGTTCTTAAACCTCATAACTTGCAACATATATATGGGGCAAATTGATTTAACGTATAACATTGAGCAAAAACTAAAATGGATAACTTCAAACAACATGGAAATCCATTAAAAAATGCAAAATCGATTGACCAGTTTATCTTTAACCTCTTGACTTACCAGAATGACGAGATTTCTCGTCACCTCAGATGAACTTGAAACCCAGAGGGACGAGAAAATCTGTCACAAATTTGTTCACAAAAATTGCTCTTATTTGAACAATTTCATCCAATTTACACAAAAATTGTTTTAAAACGTGTAGAAATGATCTCTGCCATCTAATTTTACTAAGTTGAGTATCTAAAGTTGTAAAGGTATGTAGTAAATGTCAAAAGGTGGCAAAAATGAAAAATTCTCTGGTTTCAACCAATTTTAGGGCCTGGGATTCAAGAGGTTAAAATGGAATCTCCAAGTACTTACTTTGTAGACATCATCAGGCAGCATGCTTAAGAGCAGAGTAATTATCTTCTGAGGGAACTCAAACTTTACTGTCCAAAATACCATTTCTTCTAAGAAGGTATTGTGCTGCAAATCACTCCCTATTCCTTTAACATCTGAAAGAAATCATTCATTTAAGACCAAAATCGGGTATAAAAGGCAGATGGAACAGCCCACAACAGCCAAATATGGTAGTTTAAATGTCAAGTTCAAACGAAATGAGACAGCTTAATTAATAGCTTCACCCTGGGTTTCTACTAAACAGAAATTTAGGCCTTTAAAAGGTTTACTTTAATTGTTTTTGAAAAAGTTTCCTCCATAGAAGATTTTCCGAACATTTATTTTTTCTATATTTTTTACATATATTAAGAAATATAAAAAGTGTGTTCATATCGCATTGTCTATTATATTGACTCCAAGTTCTGATGGTTGTGAAACAAGAGACTGTCTCTAAACATTCAATATGGTACATGTGCTGTGTAAATTTTGTACACATTGTTTGAATAATTATGTATATGCTTATCAAGAAAGAAATGTACCTTTAAATTCTTCCAGATTGTGTGGTGTCTTAAGCGTAACAAGGGCACCCAGGTAGTTGGCTCGACTACGCACACCATACACGTCACTGGTGTTAGAGATATCTGCAATATAACAACAATAGGAGCATTTCATTTATTCATTATATAAATATTGAACAATGTATTCTTGGAGCCTTGGCTTGTTGAAAATATGCACATGTATACAGAACATGAAAATTATCATGGAATAAAAAAACAAAATGTCATTCCATCTTGTTGTAACATATTATTTTGGTATATTAAAATGAATAAAACTAGAAAACCAGCAACTCCACGGAGTAGCAAATCCCACCGAACAAAACATATTATGCTTATCATAGCTAGTGTAAATGTTGAAATGTTTGTGCACTTTGTGATAGAAGCATGAAATTTGGCACAAAGTTAGTTTATACCATTGTGAACTAGGCATTATCATATAAAATTTCAACCAAATCTGTTCACTGGTATTTGAGTTATCAAAGATAACGTTTTTTACGAAAAATTGTCGCCATTTTGAAATTCTCTTTTTGTGCGAACATAACTACTGTGTCCCTAAGCATCATCATATAAAATTTGAACCAAATCCGTTCACTGGTATTTAAGTTATCAAAGATTACATATTTTTACGAAAAATGACCGCCATTTTGAAATTAAGCGGCCAGACACACTGACAAACGGACGGACGAAACTATATTTGTAGTTTCAATATCTTTACCTGTTGTGAAAGCAAGGCTCTTGTATGTGTTTGGGTTTGTAAAGGCCAGTGTTATTATTGTCCTCATGGCTGCTCCCATATCAACAAGGCTACCAAGGAAACCCAGATAGAGTTCTATCTCCTGCATAGCAACCAAGTATGTGTCCAACATATCTGGAAATTGTGAGATTTAAATACTTATTACATATGCATAAACATATGAAACTTCTGATCTAATACACACACCCCAGTGACTCTGTATGCCTATCCATCACTTTAGACATATATACCAGCTATATGTACTTTTTATAACTTATCTGTAATAAAATACTATGAGGATAAAATCACGGCATTAGTGACAGATGTATTTCAAAAAATACCTGGCTTTGCGTGATCTCTGAGATGTTGAACAAGCCTCAGTAATAACCTGGGCATCATAGCTTCAGCTACCAACAGTAGATCAGGGGGAACTACAACATTTCTGGGTGTATGGTGGGGCCCATGACGGGAACAGAATCTGGAATATGATGAAAAATAATAAACTGTAGTTAATGTATGACTTGATCTAGTATTGCTCAGAAGCTTCTGAACTACCCAACACCATACTCTTTCTTGCAAAAACCGACAAACCTCCTATTTGTGATCTGATATTGATTTACATGATAGTATGGAAAATAAAGATAGGCCTGAGGGATTATACATGTAGTTGCCTTCGAAATATATTTTTGTAATTATCAACAAGCTATAGTAGCTGTTCAAAAGTTTATCAGTCAAAGAAAACCTGTAGGATCTACGAGAATGCAGTTTTACTGGTTTACAAGACAATAATATTATGTAAAACCAGATCCAATCTGCTCTACATATAGCACTTCTAACAAGTGAATGGATTTGAAAAGTTTTTCTGGAATCATGATGACAAACAAGTGGGCAGCACCAGTAGTGTGATAAAAAAAAAGTTTAACATTAAGCGGACAATGAAACATTACTTTAACCACAAAATATGCAATATAGAGCTAATGTACTGTGCATACCCATTTGCATTCATGACACCTACATCTCCACAATCACATGCCCCTCCTGCTTGGCTCCGAAACATGTTGAAATCATGCCCCTCGTGGTCTCCTGCCTGGAAACAGTCGGCACACAAAGACATGCATGGTGAGATGCCACAGGTGCGACATCTATAGGCCACAAAGTTGGAGGTCCATACTAAACCACAAGTTGTAGCATTGTCATACATCCGAACTGAAAAAAAGTGATACATTGATCTTATCATTTCGGTGAGTTGCAGACAGTTTATCAACGAAGATTGAGATATGTATATTAAAACATTTTTCTTACAAACTTGTGAATATCTGGTCATTATCTGGATTTTGATCTTGATTCAAAATTTCCAGAAATTAACAACAATCAGGTCCGTAGCCAGGATTTGCCAAGGGGGGGGGGTTTTGGCCCAAATATGGCTAAAATTACTTGAAAAGTGCTCAAAATGGTGAAAAACTGCATGATTTTGAAAGAATTTTTGGCCTGCGAACCCCCCTGGCTACGGGCCTGACAATAGACTAGATGCAAGTAGATTTAATCTTGATTAAGGTCATTAAAAAATGTTTAAAAATTCAGTCAAACTGAAGTCATATTTGAAATCTACATGTAAAATTGGATCTCGATGCTTTTAAAAAGGGTTTATCAACATTGGAAATTCAATTATCTTTGAAAATGTGACTTGTCGGAGAGATTCCCTATAGACCCAATGTTACAATATATAAATGTTATAAAAAGTGAAATATCTTGTCTTGTATTGAACAGATAATATTAATGTAGAAAGCTAGGAGTAATATGAAAAATGAACCACTTAAAACTGATGAATATTCAATGTTAAGGAACTCTATAAACCTGCCATGTTATTCCCATCGAAATAGCCACCTGGTGGTGAAACCGGTAACTACCTACTCACATCTGGGTAATTGTGATTGGTCAGTTGACAAATCTAGTGATTTTTTTAACAAATGAAGGAGTCAGTCACTGGTTTCCGATTTGATCACAGGCCCAGGGAGATTTAACCCCCCCCCCCAGTCACTTTATAATGTAAAAAAATACAGGCTCACTTAGTAAACATCCAAATCTCTTCTCTAATAACTCAATCTTACAATATGTCCAATGATCTTCTCTAAAATTCTATATATATAAATATCTTATCGACAAAACAATCTGGTTATTAATAGCTGTCAATCTCTAGGGTTTGTGTCCAGCTGACTTTTACCGAGCACCCACGGTCACGACAAATCAACATCCAATCGCCATCTTGTTTACTTGAAAGATGTCTCTGCAGTCCATAATTTAACATTCTCACACTTATTTTTTGTTTTTTTCAATTTTTTGAACTACAAACCAACAAAGTTTTGATTTTATAATGACCGGATTACTCGAATGATCCTTTCTTGGACGTGAATTTTGGAGGGAAAATCACGATGATCTTTTTTAGGAATCAAAAAAAAGCTAATACTAGATGATGTACTATACAAAATATACCAAGACTACTACAATAAGTTCATAGCATCACCACAGATATATCTAAATAGTAGAATTGAGATTGGTAATCGTAATAATTATAAAAAAACAATTCTTAAAACTAGATATCGGCAACTCTGCGGAGTAGCAAATCCCAACGAACAAAATATCAATTACCGAATTCCAATCAATTATACTCATTACTTTGGTTAAAATTGAAAAATTTAGATTTTAGAATTGCGAATTCCTGCAAAGCAGCCATTTTGAATTTTCTGAGGTACAAATCTGAAAAATAATACCATAATTGTGATCTAATCCAAAATTCCTTCAATTTGAGTATAATATAGCCATACTTTGAAGGGATCGAAAAATTATTGCGAAATCGTACATTAGACGGCCATTTTGAATTTTACGAGGCTCGAATCAGAAAAAAGATACAATATTTGCAATCTACTCTTAATTGCCTTTAATTTGAGTATAATAAAGCTATACTTCAGAAAGATCTAAAAATAAGCGAAAATTTCTGTTTTCCTGACCCCCCATATACGGCCCCTGGGGGTCAGGATGAAAAACACGGAATATATGTGAAAAAGATAGATGTTGCAAATATACTACCAAAATTTCAAACAATAATATTAATGACTTTGGTTTAGAATGAAAAATTTACGATTTTTGCGAAAAAGTCCCGTCATTTTTAAAGCGGCGGCCATCTTGAAAAATTTTTTTTTTGCGTAAAACTATTCACCAATATACATCTTTCCACTAAATATGAAGAAAATCCGTACACTAATATTTGAGTTATCTTCCGGACGGACAGACGGACGGACAGACGGACAGACGGACTGACTGACGGACGGAGGGCTTCACTATATCCCTACCGAACTTCGTTCGTTGGGATAATAATGGGAAACTCGTCGTGGATAATATCGAGGTTGCTGTAAAATGACGTCGATTTGTCTTGATTGCAAAAGTGATCATTTTTTCGTCACATTTCCAATGTTATTCGCACAATTATGCTGATTAAAGAATTGGTGTCAGTTACCATAAATACGATTTAATGTCTTAACCTTGCATTGGGACAAAATATAATGCATGACACTACTCAGTGACGGAGCTATGAGCAATTAGAGTAGAGGCTTAGATTTCCCGAGATAGGAGCCTGTCTTTTTTTCTACCTAATACATAGTGAGTGGGAGGGGGATGAACTCTTGTTCCAGTGTCTGTGGATTTGTTAGTTCAGCTTAGCTGGATACCAGAGAATGACAATTATAGAATGGTACTAAGAGTACATGTAAGTTGGCCAATCACTGCCTAACATTCGTCAGTTCACCATATAAAAGTGAGCAAAATTCTGGAGATGTCTCCCTTGTTTTTTCTAAATCTGTTGAGCAGAGCAATTCTAAGAATGTGACATCACCAGAACAGAATGGGAGACAAGGTATAGTGCTGATACAAAATAACTGATAAGTCGTATAATTGGCATATTTTCTTGAATTTTAACGTTTAATGTCCCAAACTTCCACAAACAGCAGAAAAGTATACACCATTAATCATATTTACCAAAATGAGTGTCTCCAAGGCTTCATACCAGCGTATGCAATTTGGGCTGAAATTTCGCTAAAATGAAGTAAGGGTAGTCTCTGCCAGGTTTGTTTATTGTGGATACCTTTTATGGTAAGTGCTCAAGAAGAAAATAATTCATATGCGCAAAATAATCTAATAATCTGATTGGTTTATACTTTGCTGCACAATGTGTGCCATGGTTTTTTCTAGTGATTTTGTTTTGTTTCATGGAGTCTGCGTTTCATTGTAACTTCCGCCAAAATGGCGAACCAATGTCAGAATTAACAGGTATAAATATAAATCATTTCAAAATTTTAAGAGAAGTTTTCACCTATAATAGCAAAACTTTTGTTTTATTTGTGCATTCTATCATGGGCTTTCAACTAGATTGAAAGCCCATGATTCTCTCTATCAGATAAGAGTCTAAGGGGTTTATCGCATCCTACGACCCCTTTAGATTGTGGTCGTACGCGCGTATAATTCGTCAGTCAATGTTTTTACAAAGTTGGAGAAAATACTACGCATTGCACACCTAAATGACCTACCTCAATACATTCCTTAGTATTTTAGAATTCTTTTTATGTTGTTAGATCGCCAATTGTATGGGTTTATCGGCAGAACGAAGAGATTTTAGTTTTTACATCGGAAATATATCAGCAATTTTCAAAATGTCGGAAGGGGAATTCCCCAGGGATTTCCCTTATGACTGATGCATGCCGGGAACTGAATGGAGGAATTTGACGGTTGAAATAAGTTAATATTACACGCAAATATTGCTATCAAAAACGAAAACCTCTTCGTTCTGCTAATAAACCCACACAATTGTGGATTCAACTACACGAAAAGAATGCTAAAATACCAAGGAATTTATTGAAATAGGTATCTTAAGTGTAAGAAGCGTAGAAAATTCTCCCATGTTGTAATCGAACAGACAAAAGAATTAGACGTTCGCAAGACTAGAACGTAGAGATAGTCTTGGAACGAGATAATAAGGGGTATGTAGGCAAATTCATTTTGGTAGGAGCACTCTGTTTAGTTTGAAAACGCACCCTTTATTATTTTATATCAGCACTGTATGTCTAACGCAGCTACCATCTTTCAACAAAATGGTGAGTTCAAATATTATCACCTCTGTTGGAAAAATCAATTTTTGGACAGACGAGGAGCATGATCGGAACAATTTACATGTAGATCTAGTGCTGGAACTCGATAAATCACGGCATGGACTTCAAATGATTAAACTAGAAGTCCATGATGACGGGTACTAAACCTAGGAGACGTCTTAGGATCTAGCAATGGAAGTCATTCTCCAGTATTTTCTGAATGATTCTAAATGAGGACAAGCTAATCCGTAATATTGACATTCATGACGACTTGTGTTGACATTTTTACCTGTTTTTCCAAATTCCTCGAAAGTTGACCCTCCTGCAATTAAAGATTTCAACCAATCTATCTTATCGAAGTCATCCAAAGACATTTGGGGATCTAGAAGATAATCCAAGAGTGTCGTCAGCTGCTGCTGTCCGCTCTTCTGAGCACATTCTGCCTTGATATACGTTGCTACATTGCGCTTTCCTCTTTTCATCAAATTTTGCGCCGCCATCTTTTTGAAAGCAGGAAGGGAAATGAGAAAACGAAAATTATAATTTATTAAATGTGATTTAAATGCACTTGTTTATTTGTTGTATCATTTTTAATTTGATGATAGCAACCAAATATAGACTTTAAAATCGGATGAAGAGAATAACTTGGAAGAGATGAAATGTTTATGATTTCGTTTGATTTTTAGTTTGGCATTTAGATAACCCGGAAGTATGGTAGGTGGAAAAACTCAAAATAATTTATTTACAACGATTTAGACTCATCTGTGATGAAGTCTACAAGTTCCGAAGGTTATTATATCAATAAGTATTAGTTAATCCCATATACAATATTTTCGACCGTACCATAGATGTGCACATTCACATGAATCTCAACTGAACACTGCACAGATTTCTCACTTGCCTGTCAGAATTTCATTGCAAAATTTTTCCCCCCTAAATGTGGGACGGATTTTTCAATCATTTAGAGCCATCATCTTTGTGTGTGTTCTTCCGACCAACCTCCGTTTAATGCATCATAATGTAACGACACGTTGGCACACTCGCTCCAGAGTCTACTGCTCGAGCCATGGGGCGGGATAGCCACTACAGCTCAGCTGTAGAGATTCGCTATCAAGGGTCATTACAACCATATCTCTTTCTGGTGCCTATCAGAAGGGCCTATTCAGAAAAATGGTGGCATCAATGGAACCAGAATGACCTACAGTAAAATTTTAAATGTTTGGAACCACTTTGAATTTAAAAAATAAGCAATCAAATTACTATATTGAAACAGTATATAAAAAAAAGAAACATATGTACTTGTTCTAACTTTTGTATATTTCAGATAGTTATGTATAATGTGCAGCAAAGCTGTGGCCTTTTGTAATTTAGGGGGTTTCAGTGGCGGATCCAGGAACCAACAAGGGGGGGGGCCCAAATTTGAGAATATAGAAAAAACCTCCGCGCTTGCGCGGAAAAAATTTTTGGGCCCCTAAAACCGAAAAAGTGGGCCCAAATTTTGAAAATTTGAGGCCCATTTTCTTCCAAATTTGGCCCAAATTGAAAAAATAAGGCCTTAGAAGGCCCAATAATGACCAAAAGGCCCACTTTTTGGGGCCTTAAGGCCTTTTTTGGCCTAAAATTTTTTTGGGCCCAACTTCTTTTTTTTTTGGGCCAACCTTAGGGGGGGGGGCCCGGGCCCCATGGGCCCCCCCCCCCCGGATCCGCCATAGGGTTTCAGCCATGTTAATTTCGTTTATTCCGTAAATAACATGGCAGGAAGCATCAAAATATAATTAAGAGGCCACAGATATGATAGCTAAACTACAAAACAAAGTAAAATATACAAAAGTTAGGACATGGATAAATGTTTCTATTTTTACATATACTGTTTTAATATGGTCCTTTGATTGTTTATTTTTCAAATTCAAAGTAGTTCCAAACATTAAAATTTTACTGTAATCATGAATGGAAATCGCCACTGTGCAGTACACCTGGCACAGGGGTGAGATAATTATCAAAATTAATACAGAAAAGGCAGTTAGGCCCTAATTCCAACTATGCTATCAAAATAATGTTTGAATTAATTAATTCATACTAAAAATGATTTTTCCAGAGGTTTCGTTTCTGTGGAGATTTGGATTGTCCTGATTGGGTACTGGCTGAGATCAGCACACTATCAAAGATAGTAAGTGATCAAAACTTGTCTCAAACAATACTGATTTGTATTACATACCTAGCGAAGCATTTGTATGGAAGTCAATGGAGCTGAAGGACGGCTATATATTCCTGTATAGCCGCCAAACTTTTTACCATGACAATCGTATGACGTCACGTTTCATTTCTTACATGTTCCAATCGCACACAGATGTGTGACGTAATTGATATAACATGAAAACAAAGCATTTTTGTCTTTTTTCACGCATTTCTACATATTATATTCATGAAATGTAATGTAAAATGTACTACAACAATTATGTCCGTATCATTGAATATATGCCTTCGGTCGTCAGACCTCAGGCATATATTCAATGATACGGACATAATGGCTAAGTATTACATACCTATCGAAGCATTTGTATGGAAGTCAATGGAGCTGAATATTGTCTATATATTCCTGCATAGCCGCCAAAATCTTTACCATGACTAGTGCCAATCTTATGACATCATGTTTCATTTCTCCCAAATTCCACTCGCACATGGATGTGTGATGTCATTAATATAAAAAATAGCCATGGAAATAAAGGTATGTAATACAACAATTATGTTTCATTGAATGTATGCCTTTGATCTGTCGTAATATAGCCCTTGCAAGCTCGGGCTATATTGATGACAGACCTCAGGCATTATATTCAATGATAGGGACATAATGGCTAATTATAATTCTTATCAGAGGCCCAAATATTAATTTTGTAATGTATCAATATACAAGAATAGCGCATTTTATATGTTTATAACAAGAGGAATCAGTGGCAGGATAATTTTTCAGACCAGTTAAAGGTTACCATTTCACTTTACATGTACTTTTGAAAAATTTATTTTGTTTTCAGACATCTGTTAAAATAAAGCTGCTATGTGCTCAGGTGATCAAAGACCTTCTAGGAGGGAGCATTGATGTAAGTTTTTATGTTAACCTCAAGAAAGGGTGACATGTTGTCCTTCTCTCTTCTGTGACTGGCAGTAGACAATCAGTGCTTCGTTGCAGCATTATATGGTGAATAATTGGTGTCTTTAACAACTGTGACACTTTTGTAACCATTCACAATACCTTACCAGATAGCCCGATGGTGATATTTGTCATATTGCCTTTTTGTTACACTTGTAAGTGAGGAAAGAATTGTGCAAATATTCTAAAATGACAGGGAATCATATATTTATCACAGATGGAATTTTCACAGTCAGTTTTCTCCTTTGTCTTTCAACAAAAGTTATTTAGTTTTTATATAATTGTTTATTGAAATAGATGTCTCCCCATATGTAGAACCCATATGTAGCAAACACTGTAAAAGTAATAATACCTTTTCTTTCATTCCAGTTTGCAAAGGTTTTTAAACTGACTGCAGATGCAAAATTTGGTAAGTTTTAAGGAGACAGTGTAATAAGTCCACCCTGCACATGAAATATTTATTTGATCAATTCTGTCACCAGTCAGAATATGTTGTCAGAAAATTACTACACTATGTTTTTTGTTTTGCTTTTAGTTTAAGCCATGGACTTTCAAGAGAATTCCAATGTTAAATTGATATTCCTTTCACATTGGAACATCTATTAAAGGACCTAAAAAGCTACATTTCAATTTAAAGTCATGTGATTGTAAAGTGATTGTATAATTTACTGCTGTCAGATAATAGCCATTAGATAATACTGTTAAGCTACTGTAGCTAGTCAGTAGCTAGTTACTGTTAAGCTAGCTAGTTGGTGTTAAGCTAGCTAGTCCCAGGTAGCTAGTAAGTAGCTAGTTGTTGTTAAGCTAGCTAGTGAGTAGCTCGCTGTTGTTAAGCTAGCTCCTATAACAAGTAATGAACTGTATTTTTTAGATACCAGTGATGTTAAAGCCAGCATATCGGGTCTCTCCTTTATTCTAACGAGTGCTGCTAAATACAATGTTGATGGAGAATCATTGTCCAATGAGCTACAACAGCTTGGATTTCCTAAAGGTAATATTCTTCATGTATTCATTGACACCCCTTTGACAAAAATGGGGATGACATTAGAGATGCAAGAAAGCTTTGACTAAGTCAAGAGAATGCCAGAGGGTCCATACTGTATGTTTAAATTGTAAAAATCTTGATCTTGTTTCCTGTAATCAGGTGCTGTTTGGAGTAAAAATGTTAACTCTTGAGAAAAGAGGATGCCAGTAAAATTTGTAATTTTGTTAATATTTCCCTTTTATCTGGTAGCTCTTGGCACTGTAAAGGCAGGCCCGTAGCCAGGGGGGGGTTCGCAGGGTTCGGGCGAACCCCCCCCTTGCCAAAAATTCTTTCAAAATCATGCAGTTTTTTACCATTTTGAGCACTTTTCAAGTGATTTTAGCCATATTTGGGGCAAAATTGTCAAATGTGAACCCCCCCTAGAAATTTTTGAAAATTGAACCCCCCCTTGGCAAATCCTGGCTACGGGCCTGAAAGGTAAAGTCAAAGCCCACCCCCCCCCCAGATTGCCATAATGTATTAAATGTTGTATCAGAAGTAAAACATGTCCAAAAATGAGAACTTAAGGTCGTGTAACATTTTCATAACATTCAGTATTTGATACCAGGAGTCAGAGCTATAAATAAAAATAAAAAGAAGTATCTCCTGAACTTTTTTTTTCTTAAATATTTAATACCAGATAAATTGTATTCTGAGGAAAAGCGAATATTCAATATCATGAACGTGCAGAGATATTTATTGAGTTCCGTTTGCTACAGCAATGTAGCATTAAAGCTAATAAAATACAGACAATAGTTGAATAGTATACCTGCTTGGATTTTTGTTTAGATAGAAATAAATTCATCTATCACACATGTGCGGCTATTGATTTTGAAAGTCTCAATAAATATGTTTTTGTTCTTAATTCTGACAATCAAAAATAAAATCCATGTTCAGTGTTTTATTAATTTGTTTTTGCAAAGTTAATTTCTTTATACATGTCAGATTATACTGCTTGCACAATAAATGTTATTTGTACATTAAAACCAACATTAGATAAATATTTTCTTTTCTTTAGTGAATCAATTGATCTCTTGAACACCAGACCATTTTTGTTATGTCACCACCACAATGGGCTTTAAAGAAAGCCCCTGCCACTGCAAGAAGTGACATGTTGTTATAGTCTCCAACATTTTTGTGGCTATTGTGGCTACAAATGGCAGGTGGTGACATTTTGCATGTTAATACCTCTGCAGTTTTGATTGCTTTTGCCATACATATTTCTATCTAAAACAATGTTTGATGTTCATTTTGGTAATACTACCAACATAAAAAAATACAAACATTTTAATTTACATTGTACATGTATTTTGTATAAACTAAACAAAAGTAAAAGTTAGAGTAATTTTATTGAGAAATCCTGTGACTTATTTCTCCGTCACCCTGAGTATTCCAGGAGGTAAAATGAAGAGGGGATGGGTAAAGTTTCTAACAATCTCAGGAAGAATCTGACATTTTACCTCCTGGATTCTCAGATGTATTTTGGAATTACCCATTAACCTCTTGAATCCCAGGCTCTAAAATTGGTTGAAACCAGAGAATTTTTCATTTTTGCCATCTTTTGAGATTTTACTACATACCTGTACAACTTTAGATGCTCATCTTAGTAAAATTAGACGGCAGATATCATTTCTATACATTTTAAAACAATTTTCGTGTAAATTGGTTGAAAATTGTTCAAATAAGAGCAATTTTAGTTAAAATTTTTGTGACGGATTTTCTCGTCACTCTAGGTTTCCAGATCATTTCTGAGATGACGAGAAATCTTGTCACTCCAGGTAGTCAAGAGGTTAATAGAACTCAGACTTTACAGCCATGCTTGGAAAGTCAGATAATGTACAGTAAAACCTGTCTTAGTGAACACCTCTCTCTAGTGAACACCTGTCACTAGTGGACACCCTTCTTCCGCACATCCTCTACTGACTTCTGTATAAATTACCCTCTCCGGAGTGAACACCTACCAACACTGAACATGAACTCATCCCTAGTGAATACCTGTCTCTAATGGACACCCTTCCTCCGCACATACTCTACTGATTTCTGTATAAATTACCCTCTCTGGAGTGAACACCTACCAACACTGAACATGAACTCATCCCTAGTGAACACCTGTCTCTAGTGGACACCCTTCCTCCGCACATCCTCTACTGACTTCTGTATAAATTACCCTCTCTGGAGTGAACACCTACCAACACTGAACATGAACTCATCCCTAGTGAACACCTGTCTCTAGTGGACACCCTTCCTCCGCACATCCTCTACTGACTTCTGTATAAATTACCCTCTCTGGAGTGAACACCTACCAACACTGAACATGAACTCATCCCTAGTGAACACCTGTCTCTAGTGGACACCCTTCCTCCGCACATCCTCTACTGACTTCTGTATAAATTACCCTCTCTGGAGTGAACACCTACCAACACTGAACATGAACTCATCCCTAGTGAACACCTGTCTCTAGTGGACACCCTTCCTCCGCACATCCTCTACTGACTTCTGTATAAATTACCCTCTCTGGAGTGAACACCTACCAACACTGAACATGAACTCATCCCTAGTGAACACCTGTCTCTAGTGGACACCCTTCCTCCGCACATCCTCTACTGACTTCTGTATAAATTACCCTCTCTGGAGTGAACACCTACCAACACTGAACATGAACTCATCCCTAGTGAACACCTGTCTCTAGTGGACACCCTTCCTCCGCACATCCTCTGCTGACTTCTGTATAAATTACCCTCTCTGTAAATGAACACCTACCTACACTGAACATTTTTTTCTCAGCAAAATTGTTCAATATACGCAAGTTTTACTGTAGTCAGTAAGTGTGAGTGTCATCTGAATACTGACCCAAGGAACACTGCATGCATATCTATATCCTCATGACTTGTGATGGTGAAAATATTTTCATGGGACTTATCACTGCTAATCAGGATATGGTGTGAATGGGACATTTCTGGTGTTTCTTGGTATGAAAAATGATGGTGTGTCCTGAGGTGGAAGGATTAAAAGATTAAACCCTTACAGTGTTCTCCCCAAAACAAATTTTCAACTGGGTGCAAGATTTCAAGTCTGAAAAAATCAGCACTCGCTACGCTCACAATATCTCAGTGTAGGTGCTTACTTCACTCATTTTTCAAATCAGAAGTTGAAGTGGAGATTTCAACTGGGTGCCAACTGGGGGGCCTTTGGTTTCAAGTAGGGGGAGTCCCCGGTAAAAGTGACATGGGGAGATCACTGCCTTATTATCTAATACTGATTCACACCATACAGCTGGGGTGAGATGGTATGAACAATGAATTTAATCCCTCCATTCTCTATAAACCAAAATCCACACAAAGTCATCACACTGAAAGCTTAATGGTAGTAAAATATAAAACTTGACTTTCTTAGTTATTGATTACTCTGTACCTGAGGCCCGGGTATACTGTCATTAATAAAAATCAGTCTTATTCTTATCCATTAAGCTTATAAATATCAGTCTTATTCTTATACATGTAAGTAATCTAGTCTATTTATATACATGTATACACCACGCATTAACAACTCAGTACACTAGCGAACATTTTAAACATTTTTAACGTATACCTGGGCCTCAGCTCTGTACAATTCCTCTGATCTTGTGATGGTAATTTTTCGAATCGAAGCTGATAATATACGATTTGAACGAGTACATCGTATACCCCTAGGGCCAAAATCAAAATATAAATTCACAAGAACGCTGACAGCCAAATTCCTTTGGTACCAAGACAGGGAAAACGTCTGGAAGCAGCGATTTAAACTTAAAAACCACAAAGGGGTTTTCATGTCCGATAGCCTTCCTGCAGAAGCCGAACGAAACAGACAAATCCTGCTTCCTATCTTTAAAAAGGCGAAATCGTTAAATCGAAAGTGTACCTTGTATGCAGACACGCTTTCTCTAGACGGAGTACGCTACAAAGTGCGCGATTTACACAAACTACCAAGCGACCTTCTTCCACTTCAAAGCACAGTCAGAACCGAAGGTGATATCTCCCTCTACAATGATCAAGTCTCCCCCCTGGGAGCTACACATGAATGTGTCTTCAACGAGAAGGGAGTAACCTACAATAGTTTAGCCCAATATATCAGTGCTTCAAAAGCAAAATACCTGGATGATCCGAATGCAGTGGATGTCATAATGATGATAAAAAACCAAAAGATGTGCCATCATATGTCAAACCTAACAGCCACCCCCACAAAACTCAACAGCTGGAACAAGAATCTCGAAGATGTGCTCAAAAAGGGTAATTACTTAAAATTCAGCCAAAACCCATACCTCAAAGCAATACTTAAATCAACTGGAACCAAAACTCTAGGTGAATGCAACCCACATAATGAGCTAACTGGAACTGGTTTCAAACTAAGTGACAAAGACGCCTTTAACCCCAATAAATGGAAGGGTAGAAACTTTGGGGGTTTATCTCTCATGGCTGTGAGAGAGGCAATATAACAAAAAAAAACATACATTGGCTTGACAGTCTTATACTCAGAGAGTCGGTGAGGTTACTTATATTCAATTATCATCACATTCAAAATATATACAGATAGAATATCTCACATTGAAATTTTGATATGAAATCCTAAAGTTTCATATATACAGTAAGTAGTCTTGACGTTATATAGGTAACCGAAACGACCCTCTCGTATAGGATTAAGCTCTACAAGAAGAATCCATCTCTAGTGCTTCGAATTCGGAAGAATGACGGACTCTCCTCAGAACTGTTTACACATATATATATAGTGTTAGTTGCGTTATTATGTGTTGTTTTTCATAGCAAGTACCATGTCTATAACCATGCAGCGTTTATGTCTATGTACACAAATGAGTTTTAAATCAAATCAATGGTTGTAGATGTTTAAAATTAACATATACTTTTTGTTTCCATAAATACCATGTCAATGTTTATAATGTACATGTAGTCTAGAAACCTTATCTTACAGCATTCATGTTTATGGTACCTAATGGTGCATATACCCTTCACTAGAGCTGCATAATTTAAATAAAGAATACTCTATACGTTTATACATGATAATGATTTAAAATTTAAGATTGTAATTTTGAGTCATAATAAGGTAACTATGAAGTGCATTAAGTAAAATCTTGTATTTAAAGTACACTTTGCAAATACTATACTTTGTATGTTCAGATATCTTGACGAATCACAAATAAGGTAAACATCTTAAACTTAACAACTTTTCTTCATACGTAATGCTGCATTGTTTTTTGGGCATGCAGTATAATGCGGTGTATATTATAAAAGGGTAATCAGGTGCTCAAATTTAAACTTAGCATGCATCATTTACACGGTAACTAATAACCATGCATTGTACGAGTGTATGCAACATAATAAGGTGCAAATCATAAAATGATATTCTCGTCCTCAAACTTAAACCAAGCATGCATTGTAACTTTGAAAGCATACATTGTATTAGTGTATGCAACATAATTTAAGGGGCAAATTATATAATGGTAATATGGGGTCAAACCTAAACTCAGCACACAATGGCTATACAATGCTAACTTTGCCAGCATGCATTGTATTAGTGCATGCAACATTATAAGGTGCAAATTATAAAATGATATTCTCATGCCCAAACTTAAATTAAGCATGCTTTGTGTAGATTGTAACTTTGCAAGCATGCATTGTATTAGTGTATGCAACATAATAAGGGACAAATTATATAATGGTAATCTTGGGCTCAAACTTAAACTCAGCACGCATTGGCTATACAATGGTAACTTTGCCAGCATGCATTGTATTAATGCATGCAACATAATGAGGTGCAAATTATAAAATGGTAATATTGTGCTCAAACTTTGTAAGTATGTATTGTATTGGGGCATGCAACATAATATAGTGCAAATCATTAAATGTGCTCATGTGCTGAAACGTTAAAATTATTATGCATCGTTTATAGGTAACGTTGTATGTATCCATGGTATTCGAGCCTGCTACATAACAAGGTGCAAATTATAAATTGTGCTCCTGCGCTCAAACACTTAAATGTACCGTCATGCTCAAAATTAAACTTAGCATCCACTGTTTAAAACTTGTAAGTATGTATTGTATTTGTGACTGCAACACAATAAGGTGCAAATCATAAAGTGTGCCCTTGTGCTGAAACTTCAAATTCATTATGCATCTTTTAGATGGTGACGTCGTAAGTATCCTTTTTGTCAGTCACTGCAACGTAAGAAGGTGCAAATAATAAAATGTACTATTGTATCGTGCTTAAATTTAAACTTAACATGCATTGTTGATATGGCAACGTTGTAAGTATGTACCGTACTTGGGTATGCAACATAACAAGGTGCTAATTATGAATTGTGCTTTTTCGTTCAAATTAAAACACAGCACGCATTGTTTATACATTATGGTAACATTGAAAGTACGCATTGTATTTGTGGATGCAACATAATAAGGTGTAAATTATAAAACGTACTATCGTGCTCAAGCTTAAACTTAGCATGCATTGTTTATAAGGTAACGTTGTATGTATCCATGATATTGTTTTTGAGCCTGCAACATAATAAGGTACAAACTGTAAAATGTACTATCGTGCTCAAACTCAAACTTAGCATGCATTGTTTATAAGGTAACTTTGTAAATATGTACTGTATTTGGGCAGGCAACATAGTAAGGTGCAAATCATAAAATGTGCCCTTGTGCTGAAACTTTAAAGTTATTATTCATCGCTTATAAGGTAACGCTGTATGTATCCATTGTATTTGAAATATTGTGAAATGTACCATCATGCTCAAACTTAAACTTAAGATACATTGTTTATAACGTTGTATGTATGTTCTGTATTTGTGACTGCAACATGCACAATAAGGTGCAAATTATAAAATGTGCTCTTGTGCTGAAACCTTAAACTTATTATGCATTGTTTAGATGGTGACGTTGTAAGTATCCATTGTATCAGGCCCTGCAACATAACAAGGTGCAGATGATAAAACGTGCTATCGTGCTCAAATTTAAACTTAATATGCATTGTCGATAAGGCATTGTTGATTAAACCCAGCACACATTGTTTATACAATGGTAACATTGAAAGTATGCATTGTACTTGTGGATGCAACATAATAAGATGTAAATTATAAAAGGTACCACCGTGCTTAAACTTAAACTTAGCAGGCATTGTTTATAAGGTAACGTTGATTATAAAACTTACACTTATGGTCAAATTTAAACTTAGCATGCTTTGTTGTATAAGGTAACGTTGTAAGAATGCGTCGTATTTATGCATGCAACATAATGGGATGCAAATTATAAAATGTACTCTGGTGCTCAAACTTAAACTTAGCTTGCATTCATCATAAGCTGACTTTGCTAGTATGAACTGTATTTGTGCATGTAACATAATAGGGTGCAAGTTATAAAATTAACTCCCGTGCTCAAACTAGCATGTATTTAAAAGGTAACTGTGTAAATGCATGCATTTAAAAGGTAACTTCATTTATTTGTGCAGACAATAAAATAAAGTGCAAATGGTAAAATGTACTCGAACTTAAACTCAGCATGCATTGTTGAAGATGGGACTTTGTAATTATGCATTGAATTGGTGCATGCTGCATAAATGTAATCCTGTGCTTAAACCGCTTTGTCCACATTCATGTATCTAAATGAGGTTGCAAATAACCACATGTACGATTGTGTTTTGTTAAGGTAACAATTTTTATTTGGCTATGTATCTTTATGAGAGTTGCAATTATGAAGCTGCAATGACATAAGTACACCACTTATTTGTACATATTTTAAAACCTCATCCATGTATAAAGTGCAATTCATGAAATGGTTTGACAACTTTTGTTATGTAATCAATGGTTATATATGAATCCCTTATTGATATGTATATGATATGATATATGTCTTACATGTATGTAAATTGTATTGCATTAACATTTCAATCCTGTTCACAAACCTACCATGTACTTAATTAAAATGTTTTAACGATGTATTGTGTATAGTACAGATAGTACAATTGTAATTTAGCGAGTTAAAGACACAAGCTAAAGTGTCTTCATGCCATTTGGTGTCATATAAGACACGATTTTGCAGTTTGTTTTGTTTTGTTATTTTGTTTCGTATTCATTGTTTCTTTTTAAAACAAACTTGTATATATTTAAATATCTCATCCTCAGGCGGAAACCGAAAATCTTTCCAGCCAACATACACCATGCTCCTATCTGAACTTAATAACACTTACGTAATATATATACATGCTCCCCCTAATTCAAATTCACATTCAGCCTCAAAGTATAAGGCACTTTGCCAATCCTATTTCGATAAATACGTACCAAAATGAATAATTTAAGCATCATCTCCTATAACGTAAGAGGTATTCGAGATTATTCGAAAAGACAACGCATATTCCATCACCTTTCGGATATGACGCCAGCAATTGTTATGCTTCAAGAAACGCATTCCAACGAAAATGATTTAAACATGTGGAAAAACAATTGGGGAAATGAAATAATCTTCTCACATGGGTCCAACGATAGCAGAGGGGTAGCAATACTCTTGGATAAAACAATAAATTATACAATTCATGAAAAAATACAAGATAAAAACGGAAGATATATTATTTTAGACATTTCCTTTGATAAAGATAGAATACTGTTAATTAATTTATATGCTCCGACTCAGAACTATGAAAATCAGCAAAAATCCCTAATAGATGAAATTGAGAACCACATTCTAAACATGAATGCTGAAAATATCATTTTTGGAGGCGATTTTAACGCAATATTTAATCCACGCTTAGATAAAATGGGAGGGGAAAATGATAAAGTGACCACATATGTCAAGAAAATTGAAACCTTTATGAGTACCTTTGATTTGACCGACATTTTTAGAACGGCATATCCTGATTTAAAACGTTATACATGGAGACAAAAACGCCCTTTTAGACAATCAAGACTTGATTATTTTTTAATCTCTACCCATTTACTCAATCAATTTGATGATATTAAGACTCTACCTGGACTTTTATCAGATCACAGCATTTTAAGGTTACAATTTTCTGAAGTTAATAAAGAAAGGGGGAGGGGTTTATGGAAATTCAATAATAACTTATTAAACGACTTGGAATTTGCTACCAAAATTCGCGATTGTATAGCTGAATCAAAATTAAAGCATGGTTACTTAGAAAATAAAGGTCTGCTATGGGAAATGGTCAAATTAGACATAAGGTCCACAATAATTTCACATTCCATTTACAAATCCAAAATACGTAAGAAAACTGACAATGAATTAAAAATGAAATTATCCAATTTAGAAATCAAAATAAATCAGGATAACGTAACGGAAGCAACGAAAAACGACTACTTTAATACAAAATTAGAAATTGAAAATTTAAATAAGAATGAAACATTGGCCTCTATTGTCCGATCCAAAACTAAATGGTACGAAAATGGTGAACAAAATAGCAAATTTTTCCTATCTTTAGAACATCGTAACTATATAAACAAAACTATTCAAAAACTACAAACTGACAATGGTACAATTATTCACGACCCAAAGGAAATCTTAAAAGAAGAAAAACGGTTTTACGAAAATTTATACACAGAAAAATTGAACGATGAAGACCTCTTAAATAACATTGATAATTTTGTACGCGGTTCGAATATTCCAAAGCTAAATGAAAATGAAAAGTTATCTTGTGAAGGGTTACTAACAGTTGAGGAATGCGCTAAATCCCTTAAAAATATGCCAAATGATAAATCGCCCGGCACTGATGGCTTCACAGCAAATTTTTACAAGTTCTTCTGGATTAATGTTAAAGATTTAGTCGTAGACAGTTTAAACTATGCTTTTGAATCTGGAGAGCTATCAATTTCCCAAAAGCAAGGCGTCATTACCTTAATTCCGAAGAAAGACAAAATTAGATTATTCCTTAAAAATTGGAGGCCAATTACTCTATTGAACACCGACTATAAAATAGGTACTAAATCAATCGCGAATAGGATACGTAAAACTTTAACATCTATAATTAACACCGACCAATCTGCTTATGTAACGGACAGATACATAGGGGAAAATATTAGACTTATAGAAGATATCTTAGAATTCACTGACCAAGGTAACATCCCTGGCTTACTTCTTCAAATTGACTTCGAAAAAGCCTTTGATTCGGTAAACTGGAAATTTATTGAGAAAGCTCTTACATTATTCAATTTTGGCGGGACACTGATTAAATGGGTAAAAACCTTTTACAAAAATGCTCAAACATGTATAACAAATAATGGGTATCAATCAACTATGTTTTCACCATCCAGGGGAGTCCGTCAAGGATGCCCCCTATCGGCATACCTTTTCATAATCGTAGCGGAAATACTAGCCATATCTATTAGACAAAATAACGAAATTGGAGGCATTCTCTTAAATAATACCGAAGTAAAAATTTCAATGTTTGCTGATGATACAACTTTTTTCATGAACTCCATAGCATCAACCGAAAGAGCCCTTCAGATTTTAAGAACCTTTTCAGAAATTTCTGGCCTTAAGCCTAACTTGCAAAAAACAGAAGGTAGATGGTTAGGACAATTTAAAACAAATCCTCCACAAATTGTACCCAAAAGTCTTGTATCGGAAATTAAAATTAACAATGAATCTTTCTACACACTCGGAGTGTGGTTTAGCCATAATATAGATGAACGGAACGATCGTAATTTTTCCCCTAAAATCAAAGCTATAGAAAACTTATTTAAAATATGGGAATGGAGGAATCTTAGCCTAATAGGGAAAAATGTGCTCATTAAAGCTCTAGCCATTTCAAAACTTACTTACTTAGCATCAATAATACTTGTACCAAAGCACATCATCAATAAAGTTCAAAACATCATTAACAATTTTCTGTGGAACAAAAAACCTCCACTTATCAGTAGTTTAACAACTATAGGCAAAATAGAAAAAGGTGGGATCAAAAGTTTACATTTTGAGTCGCAAATAAAAGCATTACAAATTCAATGGGTAAAAAGGTTATTCCAAAGCAGACCTTGCAAATGGAAACAATATTTTTACAGTTTCTTCCCAAATCTACAGCCTGAGGTAATCTTTCAATGTAAATTTCCAGTAGAAACCTTGGCTAGATTACCACCTTTTTACTTCAGTATTATGGAAACATGGAGATCTTTACATAATAAAGAGCCATATAATAAGGAACTCGCCTTAAATGAGTATATTTGGAACAATGATTTTATAAAAATTAATAATCGAACTGTGAGTTATGCTAATTGGATAAACAAGGGCATTCTTCAAATTAAAGACCTTGTTAACAATAACGAATTCCTTGGATTTAACGATTTCTCTCTTAAATACAACATTAATGCACCTTTCGTTACCTTTTATGGCTTAATCCACGCAATACCACATACATGGAAACAATTAATTAGAAATAATCCAAATAATAAGAAACTTAAAAATGAAGAACTTCAAATTAAAGACCACACAATCAACGTCAATGCTATTAAAACTAAAACTATCTATTGGTATCTCCTAGAGGATTTATTCAAGGAACCAACTGGTAAGAAATTCCTAACTACAAAATTTAATGTCTCAGAAGAAGAATGGAAACACATTTTCACTTTGCCTTTTAAGACTGTACGTGAACCAAGAATACAATGTTTTCAATACAAACTCATTTTAAATCTAACGCCAAACAATAACTTTTTAACTCAAAAGAAGATCAAAAATTCAAATTTGTGTGATATATGCAATAATGACAAAATCGATGATACCATACATTTTTATATTGAGTGCCCAAACTCTGCCAAGATTTGGGACGATTTCAAAATTTTCTTCAATGTTGATTTAACAAACAAAGACATTATTATAGGAAAATTAGATGAAGAAAACGAGGATAAAACTAAAGCCATAAATTTTTGTATCTTGTATACAAAAAGTCTAATACATAAATCTAGACTGATTAAAACTAAAATCACTTTTATCCAAATAAAGGAAATCATAAAATATAAAATCAAAGATGAACAAAACATCGCAAATTTAAATGATATGCAAGAAACCTTCAATAAGACTTGGAGATGGGTTATTGAACTATTAAGCCAATAACTCTGTATCAATTTAAGGTATGGAGTATATATAATAAAACTGTGGTAACATATATGGTATGTTATTAAAGACTATTGTGCAGATTGTGATGTAAACACTTGTAAATTATATTGTTTGGAAATTCTCTGTACACATGGAGATGAGCTGTTGAAAAAAGTATCTATTTGTAAAATGTAAAATAATTATATCATATATTTAAGGTATGGAGTATATATTGTAAAACCATGGTAACCAATATGTTCTTGAAGACTATTGTGCTTGAAGACTATTGTACTATTGTGATGTAAACATTTGTAAATTATATTATTTGGAAATCCTCTGTACATGGAGATGAGCTGTTCAAAATAGTATCTATTGTAAAAATGTTAAATAATTATATGAACATGTATGTATATTATGTATGATGTATGTGTAAGATCCAATAAAAAAAAAAAAAAAAAAAAAAAAAAAGTGATGGTAATTTTTCTAAGGAAAATTGTGAATATCACATGTTTAGAAATGCAATTAAATTTGATTTTTAATTGTAAAACATGTTAATTATTGAAATATAGTATTGACATTTTCAACTTTCATTTATATTCATTAATTTTTTTCTCATTTTTGCTTAATGGTGTTCTGAATTGTGGTAACCTAGATATGCTAAATATATCTGTCAGATCAGATTAAATTGAAATGTTAATAGATTTAAAGTAAATAGAAATTAACTAATTTACAATTCATTGAATCAGATATTATATTTGAAATCTACATGGAAAATGACATCAAGAAATCTGGTTTAGATAACAGCAACAGAGTGTAGCAAATCCCATCAAACAGCCATGGCTGCATTTTTACAAACGAAATGTATAGCAAATATCGTAAAATAACACACATAAGAAAGGCCACCATTTTCAAAATGGTTGCTCACTAGCCAAATTGTCATCAGAAAGTGTAATATGCATTTAAGTAGGCACATATAAAATTTCAACAAACTCGCATGCACGTACATGTAAATGTTGGCCATTTTTCCAACTACCCAAAGTGTCATAACAATGTGCCATGCTTATGAGTATTCACATATCAAATATGAACAAAATTGCTCTATTACTTTTTGAGTTGTAGTAAAAAATCAAGGTGGATTGGAAGCCAGAGTTCCAACTCGATATTCTTTAATCTCCAAGTGATGTGATATTGCCGATCATGCCTGTATATTTCCTTAGCTGCAGGGAGAATGAATGATATTCTCCAACAAAGCTGGCATCATTATTGTCGATATTTACCTGGCTATAAATTCCCAATCGACATTTAAAATATTTAAACTAATGGCCATTAATTAAGCACGTCACTTAAAGTCATCACTGTTGTAACCCATGTGTTACGGTGTGATGTAACCCTAGCATATTAAAACAAGACATTAACATCAATTTGCTATTTTGAACCGAGTACAAATGAATTTACAAGAAAATATCAATTTTCATATTTATACTTTCAGAACATTCAACAGCCATATGCAGGTCATATGCTGACAACTTAAGTAAATTGCAAGATGAATTCCGGAGACAGAGTCTGAGGTTATCGCAACTAGAGTCCGTGTCATGGAGGGTTGACTACATTGTGAGCTCTAGTGAACTTAAGGTAAGATATGTTATACCCTTAGTCACAATTATCTAACTATACTACCCTCTCACTATTATAGACAATTTTACAATAACCCAGATGCGAGTAGAAATAATCTTGATTTACATCATTAAAAATTCAAAATTCAGTCAAAGTAATATCATATTTGAAATCTACGTGTAAAATTACATCTAGAAATGTGGTTTTAAAAAATTGTTTATCAACTTTGAAAAATTAATTTTCTTTGAAAATGTGACTTCTAGCTCGGGGAGATTCCCCATAGACCCCATGCTATAAAATCACAAAAAATGAAATATCTTTTCTTTTAGTGGACAGATAATATTTTGCTTTACTGGACATATTTTCATTAGTATAAGTATCAGACACATAAGGGTTATATGAAAATTGAGCCACTTAAATTGATAATATTCAAGTTTAAGGGAACTTTCTTATATACCTGCCATGTTAATTGACCCGAATCAGCCACCTGGTGGTGAAACTGATAACTATCTACTCGCATTTGGGTAATTGGTAACTGATAAGATCAAAACAACCTGATAATATAAATGTGTAATATATATGTGTGACCCTCACAGATAAAACTTGTCTTTTCGGGAATGCAACTTTCAGCTGTCTGCTACCGGATTAACTTACTATTTTATGGGCAGCTCATTTAGATATGAATAGTTCCTGCCACTATTCAATTCATATTTAAATGAGTTGGTCATAAAATAGTAGTAGTAGGTTATTCCAGAAGCTGACAGCTGAAAGTTGCATTGGCGAATACAAGTCTTAACAATGACAATGTTATGCACTTGTAGATATTAGTGTTCAATGAAGCATAAACTAAGTAATGAGATTATCATGCCTGAGGTAGGATGTTCACCTCAGGTAATTACAGATTTGTCTGGAGAAAGTAATCAAAAGAAGAATTAACTGCATCCAGGCATAGAGTACAATCTTCTTATAATCCCAAAAGTAATTTAGTTAAACCCACCTGCATTGAAGTACCCTTTGCATTTGTTCGACTTCACTTCTTAAAGAGGCTCTATGCCACAGGATAGCACAATCAAGACCCCTCTAGACTTTTTTTTGCATATTGAGTTTCACCACCTACTTACCAAAGAAGAAGTCCCAAATCCCCCTCTTTCAGTGTTAATTTTGCGATTGTGCTGGCCGATCTAATTATTTTCGAAGAAATCAATTCAATCTGAAGTTCGAATATAGCAGGAAAGTCCTCCTGTTATCTGATGATTGGTCGTTGAATTTGTTTATCATAAACCTGATTGGCTGCCTGGTGACACTGATGAACTTCTTTCTCCAAATCGAGACATCTTTTATTGAATCGGTCTACTGCACGCTACGCCTGCTTCGGACAATTTTGATATGTTTACATCTTGTTGATTTAAATGTGCTCTTTTGAATATTCATAATTTAATTTGGGTGATATTTCTATATTTTTCATGAAAAAATTATTAGCCCAGGAGATTGTCCGAGACTTGTCCTTTACATAAATACATGAATGATCGAATTGAAAGCCCATGCGTATACTTTGGCCCTCTTGACAGGGTCATAACACTTATATGGAAGCGAAGGTGAAGAACTTAATATGTACAATTCAATTTGTGATCAGTTTATGAGAAGGTGGGAGATCTTTAAAGACACATGCAGTCTTACTCACCAGGCATCTCTTAAGTCAGATTTTAAGTTAGTCCGCATCTTTAAGAATTTCAATGTGACTTTTTCAGGAAGTGAATGAACCTTCAGTAGACCTCCAAATGAAGATAAGGAACCCTGACACTGGCACTGTAGACCCCATAGCCTTTACAATGACTGCAGAAAAATTTAGGATATTCTTAAATGGTAAGAGCAGCTCTTAAGAGCAGTTTAATTCTGAATTAAACGTGCTATACAGATGTATAATAGTGTGGACAGATGTACAGGGTGTCCATGTCCATAAAGTCTGTTTACACTTTACATAGATTTTGTATTGTAATTGTAAAGAGACTTTGTGGACACTCTGTATATTGTGGTGTCAGATGCCCATGAAATGGACCATAATTTTAAAAAACTCAGAATAACCTTCTTTTCCGTAATTATCAGAGCTTTGGGAAAAATACACTTACATAGTGAGGGAATTATCTCAGAAAAGGTAAGAGGTTCATGCTCCCATTGTAATTTGCACATGTCACATGGTACTTTCAGGATGGAAGCTTTATATTATGATTATGATAACTGATATTATTTTTTATGATAAAAGTTGTAGGCTGTTTACTAATGTTAAAAAGTTGGAGAATATTTTCAATTTGGTCTTAAATATTGCTGGTGTGATTATGATGGAACTTATGAAGTTAAGGAAACAAACGCCTCCACACTACACATTAATGATGTAAAAGTGCACTTTTATTGAATAAAATATTCTCTTACTTACTGAATCACATTTCTTTTCTATAATTTAACATGAACATTTATTTTCAGAATTAAAGCAAGCCCAAGGATTAATGGAAGGACTACCTTAATAAATGGACTTTGAATAACATTTTTTTATCATGTGACTTCACAAATAGCATGTACATATTGAAAGACATCAAATACAACTCTGTATATACAATAATTTCAATGGTTGAATTTTCTTACACAAATGTTGGCAATTCGATATCATCCCGGATACCATCACTTCCAAGTCTATAAATAATATTGATGTTTCCTTTTAATAGCATCTAGTTACAGGAACTTGAAAGTGACATGTTAAATAATGTTTTCAAAGCAGGAATTCACATTGAAGGAATTCAATTTTTGACAAAAACGATATGTTATCTTGCGTCTCTAAAGTTGTCATACTTACTTCAAAAATGAATTAGAAACCCAAGATCTTTCAATATTCAAAGTGTCATGACGTCCACAATTGATGTTTTTGAAACTAAATAATAACTACATGTAAGTTCATGACGTCCACAATTGATGTTTATGAAACTAAATAATAACTACATGTAAGTACAATTGATGTTTTTGAAACTAAATAATAACTACATGTAAGTTCATGACGTCCACAATTGATGTTTATGAAACTAAATAATAACTACATGTAAGTACAATTGATGTTTTTGAAACTAAATAATAACTACATGTAAGTTCATGACGTCCACAATTGATATTTTTGAAACTAAATAATAACTACATATACGTTCTGAAAATTTCCTTAATTGATTTTTGATATTCAAGGCACAATTTCATTATTTTGATTTAAGAATAATATTATTAAACTTCTCAACTTGAAAATTTGAAAATTCTTGGATAAAGTTTCTTGATCCGTGGTTTCCAGTCTGTAAGGAATCTACACCAAAGTAGTAACCACGGCAACACATACGTAGAATCAATTATTTTCTCTTTTAATTACTTTTATATAGCTGGGAATTATTTTATAAACACTATACATAGCAACTTAAGAGTGTGACAATCGATTTCTGAATAATACTTAATGGCATACTTAATAAGTAGTAAATAAAGAACTGACCATTAAATCCAGTGACAAATGGATTTTGAAGCTTATCATTTAAACATCAAGTTAAACAGAAAACGGCATTTGTTGGTTGAATTACGACATACGGTTTACACAAACTACAGTTTGTGAATTAGTCTTGCCCCTGGAGCCGGTCTCTGCTTATCTTATTTTCTTTTATGACCCAATAATTAAAAGAGACCTACTTCACACTACTATACCTAACACCTAGAAATGCATAAGATACTTTGTTTGTCTAATTGGATTGTTTAGTATATTTTTGAAAGTACCTTATGAACATCTAACTTTCAACCGATAAACCATTAATAAGGAACAGACAAATAAAAACAAATATATAATCATTACTAATAAGCCAAATGGGTTGCTCATGAAAGCCAAATGCAAGGTATAGTAGAGTGTACTTGGGCAAGGCTATACGTGAATAACTTATTTGATATATCAATCTCTAATTTTTTCTGAGAGTCCATGCCTAGTTTATCGCGGATATATTTCAGTATTTATGACCCCGCTATGGATCCATGGTTCGTCCTAATTATCTTATCTGCGGCGTTATTCGTAACAATACGATGAGAGTCACGCAGATGATTTAATTAATTAACGACCCCATTTCCCTTCATTACCCACTAAGCCGTCGTTCCTCGGAAAAATTACTCTATTATTAACTCCAATATTTGTCACAAAATAAGAACTTGTTATCATTTTGAAGAGTCTTAAACAAGTTCCGACCTAATGGTTTCTGTATTTACCCGCCCCACTTTTGTATTTTCTATGGCAAAATAAAGCATAAGGATAGTATCCCCTGGGGTATTATATTTCTGCGTAATCCAGTCATCTATCATCGTTTTATCAGGACGCGTTACTAAAGGTTTAATAACTTTAATTAAGAACGTTTTAGTTATTTCTATATTGGTATCGATCCGAGCATGGAATCTATTTGGCATTTTATTCATTTTGATGTATTGGAGATAAACTTAATCGAATCAGATCTCGCCATTATCACTGGTTCACACAGCAAGATGAAAGTAACTCCAGTTGGTCCTATCCAAAATGGTGGATGAATTCGTTCGAAACCGATAAACGTTCGATTTCAGATGAACCAAGTAAAATCTGGATCCCAAATATTTCTCCATGGAAACTAATTAAGTTTAGATCGTGAACAACTTCAAAGAAATTCTCAAACAACTTCGAAATGTGAGAATGAAACTACAGTAACTCTGTGACCTTTTTAAGTAAATAATTTCTTTGTATTATACAATCGGAACTTTATTTGTTTGCATGACGGTTTGGAATCCAGATTTACTGATATCGGAAGTTTGCAATTGTGGATATCGAACGAATTTTGTCCAGTGCTAAGGTTTTTTTGTTTTTAAAAGATACGATGGTCACATTGCATATGGGTGTTCTTGTGCCTACAAGGCCTAAATGAATCACCAGTAGCCTGTAATATTAACACAACAAAATCTTTTAAAAATGACCGTTACAAAATATTTGAATTTTGCGCATCTTGTCGAGTCTTTGATCACGCACTTTTAATAGTAGGCGATCACTGTACATACAGTGAATCAAGTCGTTTTTTGGATTTGATATGGTAGCAGACAGAATGTTGAATTCTTTGTAAATCCCGGTATGTGCCAGGGGTGGATGGTCGTAAGTGGTGAATTACTGAGTTATTTTTTCAACCACGCAATTCATGCGATTAGCCCATTTATTTCTATGTACATCAAATAGTTTTACAGATTTACAATATTTGACTTACTTAACTAGTTATATAATTAAAGGGGACATACCATTAAGAGGCCATTCTCGGACTTAGTCATTTTTTCAAAAGTGTGAAAATAAAAAACCTCATGAAAAGTTCTTAAAATATCCTGAATAACAAGTTGAATATATATATTCAATGATGGCAAAAGCAAAAGTCTGAAAATTAACATGAAATGAGGGGTTTTGACAGATGCAAAAAATGGTAGATTTGTGATGAAGAAATATAAGTTTTTGCAGTAACAACACAATTACCTCGAAGTTATCAGTTATGAGAGGCTGAGGACTAAACTTGACATAATACTCAATCACAGATTATCAGTAGTATCTAACTTAAGCCGGACAGCCACTCAAAATGTATATGGAGCCCATGAGATACATTTTTCTCAATTGAAGTCACTGTTTCTGTTTTTAGCTTCAGAGGATAGGAAGTACATGAACATGCTAAGTTTACCTAGATCACAAGCCTTACCACAAATATAAAGTATATAGGAATAGAGTTGATATGTGTGAGAACCTTAAACTTCCCATTTTATTGGGGATGGGACTTGTGATTTTTTTTTTTCAATTCAATTCACTTTATTTCAAATGTTTCAAATACAGTGTTTTACGTTGACATGAAAAGACACCCCGAGGGGTGTATAAGTTCCATGTTTAACATACAATATAGCATTTATTAAATTAACAGTCAGGTAATATGGAAACAAAAAAATGACAAAGCATAACATGCATCACAATAAAATACAAGTAATAAGAAGAAAGCATTTTTCAAAGAAGATCTAATAATGACTTAGCAAATCAAACTTTAACTTTCGTTCAAATGATTTGATATGTTTAGACTTTTTGAGATCAAGTGAAAGAATATTGTAGAGTAATGGGCCACTTGTTTCGATTGATTTTCTTCCAATTTCTGTTCTGAATTTTTTACAGTTAAATTCTTATTAATTCTCGTGTCATGATTATGAATTGCTGTTCCAGGAACAAATAAATGTTTGAACTTTTGAAAAGGAAATTCTGGTGATTCTGAAACAGTTTTCTGAACAAAGCTAGCGGTTTGTAGTTTATTGATGTCAAATATATTCAATATTTTCAGTTTTGAAAAGAGAGGTCCTGAAGGAGCCAGACGATCAGAATAGGTGATAACTCTCAAGAATTTCTTTTGCAGAACATACAATTTTTGAATAAGAGTTTTTATGGCATTTCCCCATAAAAGGTTACAATAGCTTAAGTAGGAATATATCATGGAATAATAGATAGTGGTCATTGTATTTAAAGTCAGTCTATGTCTAGTCTTGTAGAGAAGGCCTATCAAGTTAGAAATTTTTGTACAGATAGCATTTATGTGAGATGACCAATTCAGCTTTGAGTCAATAATGACACCTAGAAAATTTATTTCTTTAACTTCTTCTATAGGTTGTTCATTAATTTTGAGAACAATATTGTTTTTATTGGGATCCTTCTTTTTATTAAATATCATATATTTTGTTTTTTCAACATTAAGAGTTAATTTATTAGATTTCATCCAGTTAGAAACAGTTTTTAATTCAGCATTCATATCTGAGACTAGAGTTTCAAAATTTTTATTGGTAAGTAGGATATTAGTATCATCAGCATATAAGACAAAGTTTAGTTTATTTGATATTAAATGTATGTCATTTATAAATATTATGAACAAGAGGGGACCTATGACTGAACCTTGAGGGACACCATATTCAACTTTATTTTTACCGGATCTATATCTCATATCTGTAGTTGTAAATTGATCAATCAAGACATCTTTTTTAACAATTTCTGTGACCATAATTCGATTTTCGAGATAACTTTTGAACCAGGAAAGAGCTGTTCCACGAATACCATAAAATTCAAGTTTTTGTAATAATATTTTGTGATCCACTGTATCAAAAGCCTTAGTCAAATCAATATATATCCCAATGCTAGTTTCCCCGATATCTAATGACCTACGAATATTTTCAATGAAATTTAGAAGTGCCATATAAGTCGAGTGCTTCTTCCTGAAACCATATTGTTGTAAATATAAAATTTCATATTTTTCTAAAAATGTTGTCACTTTTACATGAACAATTTTTTCAAGCATTTTAGAAAATACACTGAGAATTGAAATTGGTCTATAGTTGTTGAATTTATCTTTAAGGCCTTTCTTATAAATTGGAATTACTCTAGCTATTTTTAATGCATCAGGAAATGTACCAGTAGTTATTGATAAATTGAATATCTGAGTAAGAGGAGTTGACAAAGA